TGTAATTTAATGAAATATGATCTAAGTGGATAGGATAAGCGGGCAGAATGAGGACAGTTATTTCTTTGAAAATTACATCGAATGCTTTGGAAAAGGAGTTACTTTGATAAAGCAAAGTTGCAAAAATAAAAAGAGTGCTGAATTAGGGACAAGTACAGTAAGATATTAGGGAAAGAGTAATAAAATCCCTGCTCTTATATCAAACCCATCATTTCTACTCTGGTAAGCGGAGACTCTCTGTATTCACCTAATTTTAGGAGCAGCAGTTGGTCCTGTGACTTCTCTTCTCTATGGATCTAAGAAGAGGTGTTGATTTTTCCATTTGCTTCATTTCCCACCCATTGTTAGGACGGGCTGGCACCTTCCAAGCTCCTCACACGCCAGAAACCGCAAGTCTCCACTTCAAAATTTCTGTATATTTTTGCTTTAAAGAGATAGAAACTGGAGTCCACTGATGATATATTATAGATGTGTAAGAAAGACCAGAACTCTACACATTGAGCCCATTCTCAAAAAAAAAGGAAAAATGCTGCACCCAACATGAATGGATTGGTGGATGAATTGACATTGGTGAGTTTTAAGTAAAAATAAAGTGGAGAAGGTGCCTACGTAATAGGTATTTTAAATTCCCTGCTTCAATTATGTTTTGATTAGTTGAATGGCCTCCATATGACTAAATGTCTAATATGCATTAAACAATGTAGACTATATAAAATAAGTGTACTGTGTAAAACTGAATGGCTTTACATGTACCATTAAAATGATTTTTCCTTCACTCTCTGTTATTGGAATCCATCTGACTTAACTATTGGGAGGTAAGCGTGGTCTATTCTAACGCCAGTGTACTCAGAAATTCAGCGATTCCAGCCCTAATTCTAAATCTGGGTGGATTAACTATGTTAGATCCACCAAATGCCAGGGTGGTTCTTATTACATCAAGGTCACTAGGGCCTGAGGTGCTGGCTTTGTCGAAATTAAAGTGAAAACGGGCGAGAAACTTGCCTTCACACATAGGAGAGGCAGCATCTGTCTCTAGAGCCAGACTGCTTTAGAACAAATCCTGGCTTTTCTAATTCTCAGGGGCAAGCCACTTACATTCTCCCTGATCCAGTTTCCCTCCTAAGGGGTGGGCACAAGCATGCCATGGGTTAATCAGTGTAAAGTGATTAGAACAGTGCCTGGCACAGGGTGAATGCCATAGGAGCGTTAGCTATTGCTATTGCTATTATTATTAATCATTACCATTGTGCCTCTAAGTGGGCGTAATCTGAGAAGCTCTTCTCTTAAAAGTGTAAACTAAAGAAAACAGTGCATTGCACTTGAAGGCACAGATGTTCACTCACCTATGAATTAAGGCAGCAGAAAAACTTGAAGCCTTGGCTCTGCAACACCACAGAAAGGCTAAAAAGGGGTGTTTGGGGACCAGATTACTTGACAGCAATGTGGGGCCAGGGAATCCGCATTTATCCTCCAGGGAGAAGAATAATCAACATCGCTTCAGGACTCCAAAAAAAAAAAAAAAAAAAAGTTTATTTATAAAATACTGACCAGTTTGACAGGACATGGGACTTCTCGTGGTCTATATTTCAAATCGATTTTTTTGTTACCTTTCATTCAAAAAATAAACCTGCTAACAAGCTATATGACATATATATATATATTTTCTTACAGACAGACACCTGCCGTAATGAATACTCTCCCCATAATTTTTCATTGTATCTTTTAAATCAAAAAAATAAAGATTTGTGTTGGTTCTTGTTTTTGGAGTCTATATGCGTAAAAGAAGGTAACACATTTAAATGCTTTTGGTTATTCTTACAGAAACAAAGAGAAGGGGGTTGGTCCCAAGAGGGCAGCTGTGCTCAGGTGGTGGTCAGGGTTGCCGCTGCCCAGGACCGCACAGAGGCACTCAGGGGCAGACGGCTGCCGTTCAGATGGTCCCCCCTCCCCCTCCAGCCCCTCACCAAGTGTGGGCACCTTCAGATGTGCACCATGGGAAGGTAAGGGGAGCCTCTGACCAGAGTGGGCTTTAGGGAGGCTCTGGCACCTTTAAAAGCTCTGCCCAGGGAGATGTGGACAGACAGAAGGCCTCCAGCCAGCGTGCGCAGGGCGGGGCAGCCGGCAGCATCCCTGTTTCCTCTGAATCACGGCAGTGCCAGGTGGGGTGATTGGAGGAGAGGCAGCCTGTGTTTGCAAACTCCCTGGAGCCCTGGGAGGAAGGTGCTTCTGGAACCCGGAGCAGCTTTTTGGTTCACCTTGGCAGTCTGGGTGTGGAGCTGATGTGAACACAGGAGGGTGTGGCCAGGAGGGCAAAGGCAGCCCTGGTGTGCCAAGTGTGCGCTGCGGGGCGCAACACCAGACTTCCCGAGGGCACGGCGAGGCAAAGCCGAAGGAGCCAGTGAGCGAGTGTCCTGATGTGAACCCGCTTCAGGTGGCGTCACACAATCACGGGTCCTGGCATCACTGGCCCAAGAAACCAAAGGTCAGGGAGGCTCCCTGTGCCCCGTGGGCAGTGCCCACGCACCTTTCCAAAGCAGCCAGGCGTCTGGGTGGGGGGCGGGAGCCTCCGCTGCCCCAGCAGGTATGTAAACAAGGGCAAAGAGATGTCCTCTCAGAAATCCAGAGGTCCACAGCTGGGGACCTGGGCTTCCAGATGTGGCTGGGGCAGTGGAGACTCCATTTCAGGTGGGTGGGGATGGACTGAGGCTGGGACTTTCACTTCTGCCCGGCCCGCCTTCCCAGCTCCTCTAAGAGGAGCCCTTTCAGACAACAGAACCCAGCCCGCCCCACATGTGGGAGTGACTCAGGCTGCCTGTGCCCCGCACAGGAGACGGCGTCAGCCCTCCGAGGGGGCTGCGGACACACGGACGCTGTGCATTCTGTGTATATCGGCGTGTGTGTGCACGGGCCCAGGTGTGTGTGTGTGTCAGCATGGGTGTGAAGGAGCACGTGGGGAGGGGAGGGCAGGCATCTTAATGCACAAGGTGATTCACAGAAGGCAAAGGGAATTTGGCCTCGTGAAATACATACACGCGTACAGAGCGTTTCTACTGACTCCCGCTTCCTCCTCCCACATCCCTCCCTGGGCTACACAACAAGCACCGGACCGGGAAGGGCTTTAAATGGTTCAACACACGGCAGATAGAGGAAAGGATGAGACTGTTTGGGGGGGGGGCGAGGGGAGAGAGCGAGATAAGGAAAGACAAAGCAGCATCACCACCACATGCCCCGCAGCTGTGCATGTTCCCCTAGGGAGACGCCAGATGTGTACAGGGACAGAACCTCAGGCCTGTGTCCTCCTACAGGGGAAAGGCTGTGCTTCCCTTTCTAGAACCCCTTAGTGGAGAAGCTGCTGTTTGGACCTTGGAGCCGGGTCAGCCCGTCTACGGAGCCATCTTCCAACTTCTCCCCATCACGTTTCGGGGGGATCCCAGTGCCTGGGAGCCCAGAGCTGGGTGTGCCCTTTCCTCAGGCCCCTGGCCCTGCTGCCACCCCAGGAACCTGATTCGGGGTGGTGGGGAGGGGTATAGGCCCACTCCTTCCTTGGCTTGTTTCCCAAATCCTCCATTGTTCTCCTTACCCCTCAAAATGGGGCATCACCTCCTCCCAGGCAGGGCAGCAGTGCCCACGCTTGGCGCCTCCAGGGAGCCCTGCGCCACTAAGGGGCCCCGAGATGCACTAAATGTGCCCCAGCCGGGCCACCCTCTCTTCCAGAGGCAGGGGCCCGTCCCCGACCCTGAGGGATGGGCTGCTTTGCAGGGCCGGTGGGCACCCAGGGCACTAGTTGGAAAGGCTCCCCCTTAAACTCCTGCATCCGGAAGGTCTGAGTTGATGGGAAGATGCAGGCCGCCAGAAGGAGCTTTTTAAAGCTCTGTCTCCCAACAGTATAATTGCCCCTTGGTCCCATCTGACCTGCTCCTCCCGGCCAGCCTGGCTGTGCATCTTGTAAGCTTGTGTTCAGTTTGGACGGGGCCCCTCCTCGCTCTGAGCTCTGGCAAGCTGAGCCGAGTCTGGAAGACATTAATGGGGGTTGGGATGGTCTTTGACTTGTAAATCGGGTGCTGGGAGATCCAGCCTTGGGACCGGAGACTTGGCCCGCCCCTCTGGGCCCCTGGACTTAGGAGGCGGGGGTCTTAGACACCGAGGGCTATGGGTTGAGAATGAGAGACACTGATCTGAAAATGAGTGTCCTGCTGGCTAGGAGGACCCAAAGGGATTTCCCTTGGAGAGGATCTCTGGACCCTTTTCCTTGCCAGTGCATGGGTGTGTGTGTGTGTGCGTGTGTGTGTGTGCGTGAAGGTGTCTATCCAGGGAGAGGGGCGTGTCTGCCACGGCGATGCCTCACCCCCGTTTAGCCCCTCAGCCCCACAGAAGCTGACTTTCCTTGTCTCTGTAATTCCCTTTTCCCTCTCCCTTTAAGAAGGGGGTCAGGTGGTACCTGAATTGGAAGAAAAGGAAAAGTCCAAGCTTCCTCCTTCCGGTTCCGAATTCTGCCTTATGCCCAGTTATCCCAGTGATGCCGGGCCAGTGCCCCCATCTCTGTTCCCCAAGTTCATCTCTCCTAGTCTGTGCTCAGGAAAGTGAATTCAAGGAAAGGGATGGCTGGGTTCAGTGGCAGGGGGACCTCTCCCCAACCCCCAGGGGCCCTCTTCCTTGGGTTCACAACAGAGAAATCTGTTAGGAGCAAAGGAGCTAGGTAGGCAAATTCTCATCCTTCAGCTGGGTTCGTTTTTCTAAATAAACCAAATGCTTGGTGGGGACATTGAACAGGGAGGGGGTAGTGGAGGGTGAGAAGCAGGGCTGCACAGGGTGGGGTGGGAGTGTGGGTGCAGGGGGGAGGGGAGCTTTGCCCCCAGGGATGCCCATCCCGGCGCAGCACTAGGCAGCAGCAGGCCCAGGGCTCCAGCACATGCCGGAAGGGAGCAGCCGGCTGGATGTCCAGAAGTTTCTTCACCACCGCCAGCCACGCCCGCCTTACAGCCCTCCAGGCTTTGCCTTCCCTCCCTCCCTCCCTCCCTCCCTCTCTCTCCAGGGGCCCAACCCACTCGTGTCCACCGCAGCCAGCCCCCCTACTCTGCTCAGCCCCCCGAAGGAGCAGCAAACCCCACAGTCTCGAAGCCACACACGTCCTCTCGTGGTTTTTCTCCATCCTTCTCAACACCGGCTTTGCTGGCCCTGGAATCTCTGGAAAAATAAACTCAGGAGGTGAAAAGTTGACTTGGTTTCTTGGTGTTTCTCTTTTCTGGCAGGCGGTGCGAGGAGGGGCGGAAGGGGAGTTTGGTGCTGTGTTTTCTTTTTCCTCTTCCGACAACGAGGATGACATCAAACAAATGATGAAAATCCTGCTATAGGAGCCCGGGAGCCAGGGGCGAGGCTGCTGGGGGGACGGTAGAGGGTGCTCTGCTGACTCGGGGGGTTCGGGGGGTTTTGGGGCGTTGGGGTCCGACTGGCCTTGGGCCGAAAGAGGCTGCCCTGCTGGGCGCTGCTGCCGTTGGACAGGGCGGTGGGGTCTGGCTCGCCCGGGTCGCTCTCCGTGTAGCTGTAGGCCTGGGCCCGCGAGATCCCCTTCTGCTGCCGCCTCCACGAGTTGTAATAGGTGGGGTCACTGATGTAGTGGTTGACAAAAGAGTGGGCCTTCTGGGGGCTCGGGTCGACCTCGTACTCGCTGTCGCTTCCCTGGGAGGGCAGAGAATCGGGGTGTCAGTGGGCCCCGGGGACAGGTCAGCAAGATCAGGGCTGACAGGCACAGAACACTCTGCCCTGAATCTCTGCTCGGCCGCTTCCGAGCCCCGAACCGTGGGCGTCTCAGCCCCCTCTCTGCCAAGGGGGTATAACGCCCGCCTTCTTACGCACCTTCAGAGCTCGTGATGTGTATGAAGCCTCTACCTCAGGGCTGGCACAGGGCCTGAGGACCCTGCATGGCAGAAGACCTGAGTGCTAACCTCTTACGAAAAATCGAAGTGAAATTCACATAACATGAGGTTAACCACTGTCAAGCGTACGGTTCACTGGCATTCGGTACGTTCGCAGTGTTGTGCGACCATCACGTCTTTTCATTCCACAACATCTTCATCACCACCCCAGGGGAAACCCTTGTGCCCACGAAGCAGTCGCTCCTCTGTCCTTCCTCCCCAGCCTCCCCCCGACCCCCACCCCCGGCAGACACCAGTCCACTTTCCGTCTCCGTGGACTGATCCCGTCTGGATAGCGCATCAAAACGGAATCACACCACAGGTGGCTTTTGTGTCTCGCTTCTTTCATTTAGTATAATGTTTTCTTTTCGACGTTGAATTCATCATGTCTTTTCACTTTCTGGATTTCTGATGCTTTGATATCTGGGGCCTTTGCTGACCCTGGGACGACTGCCCGCCCCCCCCCAGAACTAGCCAGTTCCCGGAGAGAGTGAGCAGCCTTTCATACCCAGAGTCCACGCCTATACTACCTCCTCTAATGGGCTCTTACACACCGACTCGGGCCCATCATTCCCTGTCCCTAATCACCCCAGGGGCAGGTACCAGACAACCAGGGGCAGCCCCTACCCGCTAGGGCCCCCTGAATTTATCCAAACTAGCCTAAGCCTGCTTGCCCTGCCATGCCTTTCCTGGGGGAACCACGATAAAGGCTCCTGCCCGCGTCTCCCCGTTTTCCTCCGGCTCCTGACCAAACCGGGTGTCTCCCTGTGTGGTCCCACCTGGCCTGGTGTGTCCCCTCTTCTTGGGAACTGTGAATAACTATCTTTTCATTGGTGGTCATCTCCTGATCTGCTGGCCTCATCACACCCGAATAATAACAAACCTACATTTTAAAACAGAGGTTCACGCGTGATATACTGAGTTCTAAGGCGGACCCAGCCTCTGACTTACTGTGACTGGGGCCAAAGCCGGGACCAGATCAGAAGACCTTTAGGGGCTCCTGGCACTGAACAAAGGGTGATGCTCACCCGTGTGTGGTCCAAAATAAAAGCAACACTTGGTTATAAAAGAAGCAAGAGAAAAAGATCAACGGAGTTCAGAATTTTCGCACGATGACCACCCTGAGGCTGTCGGGGAGAAACAGAAAAAAAATTAAATTGTCCTGAACACGGTGATACTCTGGTGTCCTTGGCACGTGCTCTATCTGCCTTTTGGGGAAATCAGCAAAGAAGTCGGTCTGCATTGGAAAGTGGCAGTTCGGCTCCCAACTGCGGAGCTAAAAATACCACGCACCCCTTCCCCCATCCCAGAGATGTTTTGAGAACTAGTAAGACAACAGATGGGAAGGCCCTGAGAACTCTCTGGAAGACATGCACTGATTTTAGTGAAGAGTACACTCTCAATGAATATGGTTCAGAAGACCACGCTCGGGTTGCCTCGTCTCTGCCCAGAGAATACAAGCTTGGAGGCAGTAGGTTAATTTTATCAAGTAAAATATACGTTGAAAAAACCCCCTGCAGCCCAGTGAGTCCAATACAAACGAGTCTGGGACGATCACCTGTGTTTTGCTTCACAGGTAAAGAGAATGGGGAGTTGACCTTGCCCAGAAGGTCTGAGCTGTGGGAAAGGTAATGTGCGCTTGTTTTCAGGAACTCAAAGTTCTTTTTGGCATGTAAACCTTCAAGAGAAATAGGTACAATGCAAAGAACTAAAATGATACTAACTCTGGAAACGCTGACTTGCATTCTCGTATTTAAATTTCACACCTCTGCGCCGTAGCTACTACCCTACTTGAGCGCTGATGAGAGGGTGAGGGTTTTGCCCAAGGAAATGATGAGTTGGACTTGAACGCAGATCTGCCTGATTTTCCAAAGCCCACGCATGCTCTGAACTCCCATACTCCTGCCTGGAGGTCACGAGACAGGAAGGAGAGCCCCTCTACCCTCCCGTGGGGATTAATTGCTCTCTGGTTCATCTGCTAATTTATGTCCCCTGGCCCCTCCCCTCCTCCCCCCACCCCCGCCCTTCCACAGTCCCCACTGCCCCCAGCAGACACCCCCAGGACACCATCGTCTTGGCAGGCAGAGCCGGTTGCCCAAGACAATGGAAAGTCCCTCACCCTTCCTCCCGTGACGCAGAGCGGCACAATACAAGCCCTTTCTTTGCCTACGGCCCAGCTGCCGGCCCAGGAGGGAACAAAGGGGCTGTGCAGACTGGAGGGCTCCATATGCCAGGAGCCCAGGGGAGGGGCGGAGGGGTGGGCACCTGATGCCTGGGGCTGTGGTGAGGCTGGCCCAGGGGCAGGAAAAGTCTGAGTGAGCTGTGGAGGACGAGGCTGGGGTCCCTCCGGTCCAGGAGCAGTGAGGTTCTGAGAGTATGGGGGGCGAGAGGGGTGCCCCACAGTTTTCCCTACAGGTTAGGTCTCTCTGGGAGGGCACCTACCAACTGGCCGGAATCATTGCTAGCGGTTCTAGAACTTTGGCCAGCCCCAGGCCCCAGTCTTGAGGAGAAACCCCCAAATCACCGTGGGCCCAGAGTGAATGAGTCTCCGGGGTGAGAGGGGGCGGGGGCACAGTGAAGTCCTGACTCTGTCCCTTCCCAGGTAGGTAAGCTTGGACCCATCACTTAGCCTCTCTCAGCCTCAGTACCCTTGTCTGTAAAATGGGTAGATCCCGCAGTTCGCAGGATGAAGTGAGCTAATGGATGAGAGAATAGTGGAAAGGTATTATTAGGGAGACAGTGAGGGGGGTGTCTGGGAGAGATGGGGCCTCGAAGCCCCCAGAGGAGGGATCAGAAGGGGCCACAGGATGGGGGAGGCTGACTCAGGGCTCAGCTGGGAAAAGAAAAGAATGTATGGTTCCTGCTTCCCCGCAAAACCCCAACCCTCAAGGATGACTAGTAGGTAGGGAATGGGCCTCCTTGGCCCTCCCGGGGGCCCAGACCAAAGCCCATTCACCCAAATCGTCTCCTACCCTCTGTTGAGCACCTACTGTGCACCAGACGCTCTGTGGGGCAGCAGTCCCAACGGGGATGGGAAAGCCAGAGGAGGAGCTGGGAGGCTGCGCTGGGGGAGGGGTGTGGGCTACAGTCTGGTCTGCCCCTCCCCCAGCTCTCCAGCGCCAAAGGATGGGGTCTCTGCACCGTCCTCCTCTCCGCCTCCACCTCCCAGAACATCTGTTTCTTTTCTGGATGGGGGTGGGGTGAGAAGAGAAGAAAGAAAGCGAGAGGGGACCAGGGGCTCCCATTCCGGCTTTCAACTCTCGCCCGGCCCTCGGTAATTGAATGCAGCTTCCCAGTCACCGGCCCAGCACAAAGAGGGCCTTTCATGGGCAGTCCCTCCAGGCTGCCAGCAATCAGGTGACTGCTTCAGCTCCCCAGCCTCTTAACAGCAACTCAAAGCCACTCCATCAGCAATCACCAAGGTCTGGGGAGGAGGAAGCACAGACAGCAGGCCTGGCGATGGGAGTGAGCGCATGGGGACCAGCGGGAGGGAGGACCCCGGAGCAAGGACGGAGACAAAAGAGAGGGAGCCATGGAAAGCCTTTAGCTTTTCTGTTCCTTTCTAGAAGGAGGGACTGTTGTATCACACTCAGCAGGCGACAGGGCGGGCGGGTGCCGTCCTGGGCTTGGGGACCGGTGTTGAGAGCCCAGGGCGGGGCTGGGTGCCCTTATCTTGTTGAATCTCAAGAATTCCGGCAGGAACGCGTTGCCCCAGATGACAGGTCACCCTGTGCAGCTCCTTGGGAGACTGGGAGCTGGAGCCCCTCCCCCGCCCGTGGTCCAGGGGCTCCCTGCGCGGAGTCTAGCCTGAAGCCTAGATGGGAGTCTGTCACCTTGGATGCTCTCACGAGGCCCCTCCTGCAGGGGCTGCTGCCTCCCGGGGCTTAGAGGTGGGGTGGGGGGTGGGAGATGCCTCCTTGAGGCACATTTTTCTCCGGGGCTCTGGGCTCCTTACCCCTGCCAGGTGTCACGCAGAGCCCAACCTGTGTGTGGCCACTAACACCACCAGGCCTCCCAGAGGGCTCATGGGTTAAGTGGTACCATTCTCGAACAATCCTTAGAGCCATTCCTGGCCCCTAGTAAGGCCTTCGAAAATGTTCACTCTTCTGAAGGGGTGCTCAATAACCAATATATAAAATCTAATATGGCCCATATACTTCCTTTTTCTCATAGGTTCAGTTTCATTATAATGAGCTTAAAGGGGCTGCCCAGACATCACAAAGAACCGAGTATCGATTAGAAGAGACTTGCCATGGGCTTGGAGTTCCTTTCCCACTGAGATTTACTTGTGCGCTGTGATTTTTCTACCCAGCGTGGGCTCTGACTTTGAAATGAAGTAGGACAGTGGCCATACTTTCTTTTTAGAAGTTCCCTCAGACCAGCCTCAGCCTTTGTGGGTCCCCCTGCCTGGACCCCCTTCTCCTGTACCCCTTGAGACGCAGCCGCCAGCCCACCCCATGCCGCCTGAAGGGAGCCAGCCCCGTCCTCCTCTGCCTCCACCCACAGCCCTGTTATGGCCTTTCCCATGTTGTATCATGTGTGTTTGTTTATAAGAAACCTCGACTTTGTGTTTATTACCATACCACAGGAAAATGGCTGGGCAAATTTCCTCCAGTTTTGGAGACTGACTTTTGGGTGGTCTGACTTAGAATACCAGCCAGGCAGCACAGGCAAAATTTACTCTCCGGGGACCCGGGGTGGGGTGGGGGTTGGGGACTTCGCAAAGACAGCTGGCCTGAGGGGCTGGCTGTGTGGCTGCAGCCCTTAGGGATGTGCCCTTGCAGAAGCCGACACGGGCAGGGCTAACAGTGCGTCCACCGTGAGCCCCGAGCTGAAAGTCGTGACGGTGGATGCCGCACGTTCCAGACACTGATGTGCGGTCCAGCTGCTTCTCGGGGAGGTGGGGGGCGCGTGAGCAGCCCCAGGAGCATCAGAGCGAGGCCAGCTGCTCTGTCCCCAGTCTGTCCCCTCCAGCCCACAGGGAGCCCCTGGGAGGCAGGACTGCGTCTCCATCACCTCCTGGCCCTCACGGTGAGTGCTGAGAAGTCAGGGTCTGCTTGCCCCCTGCACCGGCTGCAGCGGCCCTCACAGCCCCGGGCAAATGCTGACACCGAGGCCTCCTGAGCTGCTTAGGCGGGAACTTCGATCTGACCCACAGAGGCACAGAGGAGTGGCCCTGGCTGAACCAGGCATGACCCCACCTGCAGCTGCAGAATCACCGAGCACGCTTCTTGGGGTCCTCCCGGTGACACTTAGGGGCTCAGGGACGGGGCTCTTTGCCAACAGGTAATGGAAGCAATTCAACTTTTTGTTTTGTTTTGTTTTTTTGGGTCACACCACACGGCTTGTGGGATCTTAGTTCCCTGACCAGGGACTGAACCAGGGCCCCAGCAGTGAAAGGGCTGAGTCCTAACCACTGGACCGCCAGGGAACTGTCACCATTTAACGACGTACCAGTGCCCTGGGGCTGGGGGGACACGGGTGACTGATGGCTGAACCTCTCAGGGTCCTCCCGGGCCCTTTCACTTTCATGTCAGAGGACGCTAATGCGCTGACAGTAGCCTCCTGGATCCTGTATGATCTGCCGTGACCCTAAAGCCAACTGCCTGGTTTTCAAGAACAATTCTAGAACAAATAACCCACGTGATCCTGGTTGCCTTTTCTAGGGCCCCTGTGATGAACCTGGCACTGCACAGACCCGACTGCATCTCCCCTAACGTACTCCTGTAACCGCCCCTTGGATAGACGGTCCTACTGTGCTGTGTGGGTGAGGACTTGAAGGATCTCCCCCACCCTCACCCCTGGGTCAGTAAAGGGTGGGCTGGGATTCAAGTCCAGGGTCACACACCAACCACAACTAAGTGCTGCAGATTTTCAAATGACTGTCCCCCTTCAGCGCAGCCTCAGAAGCGGCTGGAGAATCACTGCGGTGACCCATTGTCCCAAGCTGCTAGGGTGTCTTTCTTGGGGAAAATTTTAGTGCCTGTAGCACGTTCCTCTGAGTGTCTGTCTTTATCTTTTTTCTTTTTTCTTTTATTTTGCGGTACGCGGGCCTCTCACTGTTGTGGCCTCTCCCCTTGCGGAGCACAGGCTCTGGACGCGCAGGCCCAGCCGCTCCGCGGCATGTGGGATCTTCCCGGACCGGGGCACGACCCGTGTCCCCTGCATCGGCAGGCGGATTCTCAACCACTGCGCCACCAGGGAAGCCCTGTCTTTATCTTTTAAAGACAGGCTGGAGTTTATTTATTTTTTAGAAAATCCAGTTGCTTATCCTCAAGACTGTTTCATCAGCTAGTTCTGAAGGTCTTTCCAGAAAGGTCTGCCACGAGGGCAACGTCACCGGCTTCAGGACAGGGGTAGGACCGTGGGGCTGATCTGGGTTCTGACGTCCTAAGGCCTGTGTGTAGCATCTGGCTCTACAATCTGGAAGCCTGGGTTTGCACTTTTGGACCTGAGCCGACTCACTTAAGCTCTCCCAGCCTCAGCTTCCCCATCTGTACAAAAAAGATGACACCAAGGTCTGCCTTGGAGTGTCGGTGTGAAGATAAACCGTGGCGAGGCACTTGGGATGCTGAGTGTGGCCCAGTGGGCGGGGCGAGGGGTGGCTGGCTTCTGTCGTCAGCGTTAACTTTGAAGAGCCTCTATGAATGTCTGAGATCTGATGCTGGTTATTCCACGAATCTTTGTTTCTGTAACCCGCTAACCATCTACGGTTTTGAGTCTGTTCAACCTGACTACCTTCCCCAGTGACCCTCTCATGCTCTCAACAGATACGCCCAGGGAGCCCACATGCCAGTGCCGTGCAGGACTCTGGGGACACAGCAGTGATCAGAACTGTCACGAGTCCCTGCTCTTATGCAGCTTAGCTTTCAGAGTACATGGACCCAACTCAACTCAGCCCAGCCCCAAATCAGATCCAGAACCATCCCAAACGCTGCAGGTGGAACTCCAGGCCTGGGCTATGGTCCTCGGTTTGGGCATTCCGGAACCAGGAAGCCTCCTTTCTCTAGGGTATGCGCTCCCCGAAGGGGTGGCTGGTTCCAGGATGCTATGGAAACAGTGTTCAAGCGATGGGCTTGTTCTGAACAAAGAAGACCAATAGCTACATGGAGGATTCCGGGTACTCTGCCGCCCTGGGGTAACTGCTGAAGCAGGGTGCTCCTGGGATGGGAATTCTTCTCCCAGCAACCTCTTCAAGGCTGGGGGACCCTGGCATGGCCTCAGGGACCAGCTCTGTATCCCATGTGAAGGTCCTCCAGACTCTTGCAGGGATGGCCACAGAAAGCTCCGGAGACATCGGGCGGTATCGTCTGCACTCAGGTGGCTTACTCTCTGAAAGGTCGGGGCTCAGCTGACGAGGGTGGATAATAATGCCCTCTGCGGAAGGTCAAGGGGGGCTGAGCAGAGCAACCCTTCCACCAGGCACCACGCCGCTTTCTCCACAGACAGGGGTGGGCCTCAAGCAGCCCTTTGTTACCACCCCACGGGCACAGGGGATCCCTTTATCGTTTTGAAGTTTACCTTGGGTGCCTACAAGCCAAATGCCCATCACCATCTTTGGGGAGAAGCCCCCAGTTCGGACGCGGCTGCAAAGAGTTAAACACGCATAACAGGATGCCGTAACCTGAATCATGTGAGTCCCCGTGTAACCCAGGCTAAGCTGGGGTCTCGGTCCCTGCCAGCTCTGAGCTGGGGTGTCAGCTCCAGCCTCCCCGGCTCTGCCAAGCCCAGCAGTAACCCCGGCTGAACAAAACAGCAGTGAGCAAGAGGCCCCCGGTTCACGGGGCCGCGACTGGATCCCAGGCTTTGCCGGCACATCCCGCCCGGCCAGCAGCCCCGCTCCCTGCCGGCGCCTCTTCCTTCTCATCCTCTCCCAGGACCGGGCAGAAAGGTCCAGGGCGTGGGACACAGTAGCCTTTTGCTGCCCCTTCCTCGGCAACCGCCAGGCTTGGCCAAGGCCGAGCGGGCTGGGGTAAGAGGCTGTCACATCACTTTGCTGGAATGCACTCTATCCCCTGTCCCTAAAGTCTGGGGCAGTGTCCCCGCGTGGCCACCTAATGGCAGCCTCTCTAAAGCTCTGGATCTCCCAAAGGCACCATCCCCTTTTCAATATTAAGAGCTGGCATTTATGGAATGTAATCTCAGCAACTCCTCCCCACAACCCCATGAGCCCATTCTACAGATAGAGAAACTGAGGGTCCAAGACGTTACTTAGCACACCCATGACGCCCGTGGCTCCTAGGCAGCAGAGCCAGGATCCAGCTCAGGTCTGCACCTCCAAAGCTTAACGCTTTAACGGTCTACACTGCTTTCCATCCTTGGGGGGTCCAGGGCACACAGTCCCCCATTTCTGGGGCTCATTCTGACCCCGAATAGCTAAGTTCAGTGGTTCTCCGGGCTCTGGCAAAGCAGGGCTGCTGTGCCAACCTCGCTATCCTCGTCTTCATGCTCCTTTGCAGCCCAGAGCTACTGAGGGACGGAGCACGTGGGGTGACCCTTGCAAATCCAGAGGGCCATGCTCTTGGGGGTTCCAGGGACCCCACTAGCCCAGGGTGCAAACTCTGAGCAGAGCTTGGGAGGTGGCAGCTGGCCTACACACACTTTCCGGATAGTTTTCTGGGACCCCTTGGTTTTTCCGGCCCGTAAAGGAAAGGAGGGAAGGAAGTGATGGGCAGGTTCACACTCTGGGGTGGGCTGCTTCACCTCCCTCTCCGGGGCACCTGGCCCTCCTCACCTGAGAGTCAGAGATTTCCGAGGGCTTCTCGGTCAGGCTGCTGCTCTCGGCTGGGATGAGGTCGTTGTACTTGGTGACGTCCTCGTCGGAGTAGTGGAGGCTGCCCGGGCTGGGCCGAGGAGGAGACCTAGAGAGTGGGAGCAGGGGTGGGGGGGCAGAGCTGAGACCCAGCCTTACTCACAGCAGCCTCGTCCAGCCCAGAAGGCGCAGGGGAGCCTGGAGGCCCTCAGACCCCTCCGTCCTGTGTTCCTCCTCCCCGGGTCTGCTCGTCCGGCAGGCCTGGGCCTTGGGCTGGAGGCCCTGCCTGGCTGGGGACGCCCCAGGTCTTGAAGGCCTAGGACAAGCCTCCCAAACCAGCTCAGGGAAATGGGGGGCTCGGGGAAGGAGAACCTTGACTCTAAGGCCCCAGCACTGGGAGCGCTTGGCAGTCAATGTTGCAAAGCAATTCTGGGCGCCACTGAGACCTCCTGAATCGGAATCTCAGGTGAGGTCTGGACACCTGCCCTGCAGACAAACTCCCCGTGTGACTCCTAAACTCACAAAGTGAGCTTCTGAGAGTTAACAGAGGATTAGGGAAAAAAGGAGACTCACGGCCTCCCTCCCTCCACATCTGCTCAGAGACCAGAGATAGGCTAAGTCACACCCTACCTTGAAAAATCAGCCCTAGAGAGAGTTGTGCGTTTCCCAGGGGCTTGGCTCTGAGTCATCTGAACAAACAGCCAGGACAGGGCGCCTCGGGCACTCTGCCTGTCGTGGGGTGCATGAGAGGGTGGGGGACAGGATGGGGGCAGGGGAGGCCGGCTGGCAGGCTCCCAGGGGCCCTGGGCAGGTGGCTGGGGTCCCCCATGATTCTGCTCTATTTGTGTCTTCTCAGGGTGGGGTACAAGGGGGCCCTGCCCAGGGCCTGATGCCCCACGATCTGCCTACCCTGCTCCAGCAAGCGTTTATGGCCCCGAGGCCCTGAACCCCAGCTGTCCCGCCCGGGCTGGAGGCGGTTTGCTGCCGAAATGCCACTCCGAGAACGATCTGGTGGCCTGGGACTGTGTCACAAGCAACGCCCCTGCTGCCTCCGACCTCTTGTACTGTATCTGCATGGATTTTATGCCAATCAACAAAGCTGCGTCCTTAAACTGCTTAAGAGTCAGACGGCAGAACGGGCAGCAGCTTCACGCAGACAAGACAGGCAAAGCAGGACAGTGGCAGGAGGGAGAAAACGGGGCGCCAGGCTAATGCAGTCTTGGCGACATGCAGGCTGGGTGGGCGCCGATGTGTCACTGTGGTTGGGTCGGCCCCGGCGCCTGGGGCTGGCTTGGGGGCCACGGACTTCTGTGTATACACAGCGGGGTAGGGGCCGCAGTGTGTGGACACCGGGGGTGCGAGAGGCAGGCGAGGCCAGGCCGTGGGTGAAACGTCCTCTTTTTCCACGTGGCAGGGCCCCAGAGCCTGGCTGGCCACTGCAGCCTCAAACGGCTCTTTCTTTGGAAAGCTGGCTTTGGCAGCGGATGAGAGGGGGGGCTGGCCGGCCTGCACACCCCTCCCGCTGTCCTCCTGCTGAAGACACACGTCGCTCTTCCTTCCAGGACCAGACAGAGGGAAGCTTTGTGAGCGGTGCCTGGGAGAAGCAAATCCCCCACTCCCGCGGGCACCTCCAAGGAGCCAGGAATGTGAACAGGGCTGAGGCTGGAGAGAGGAGCCCCTGGGCCACAGCCCCAATGCTCCTGCGCTCCCGGGAGCCTGACACTGCTGGGTCAATCAGGTGAGGCTCCCACGAGCCAAAGCAGCTGCCCCTGCCCTTGGACACAGGCAGCCCGGCCCGCCGCAGCGAGTGGGGCTAGGAGGGGCCTGGGGCTGGAGAGGTGTCAGGAGGAGACAGGAGCTGGACAGCCTAGACCTCCCCTGGCTGGCTGCTCTCAAGATGCTGCCCCTTGAGGATGACGCTGAGCCTGTGGACTTGGGGGGCCGGTGGGAGAAAACTGTCTACAACTACAGCAGGTATGAGTAGGTACCCGGGGGAGAGGGCGTCCACACTGCGATGGCCCTCTCTTTCCGGAAGGAGGACAAGTTAAGGTATAAGCAGTCATGGGGGGACTCCTGCCTGGCCCACCTTCGCTGGGCGCATCTCGCCTTTAGGGCCAGTAACCATCGCGGCTTCAGGCCTGTACTAGAAGCAGCTGGCCCCACACAGCAGTCGGTGGTTTGCAGAATGGTGCAAGTGATTTGTATTCCGCTGTGTTCGGCACAAACTCTCTGTACCCACCTCCTTGTGACCTTCTCCCCAGCCCCTGTGGAGCTGCCTGGGCCCGGCTCTGTCTTCCTCGTGACCATTCCCAGTGGATGCCGCTCCAGGACAGGGCCCTGCCTGCTCTGTGGCCCTCCCAGGAGTCCCCCAGTCCCTGGGCACAGCTGGCCCCCAAGCCTCCATCCCCCGGTCCCCCACGCAGACAGCCCCGCTACCTGGTATACAGGCCGTTCTTTCGGCAGAAGGAGTTCTTGACTGAGAGCCGCCGGTTGTTGAGTTCTAGGGCAGGAAAACTGCTTTCGTCCAAGCTCATCATCTCCCCATGGCCCAGGGCACCAGACTTGGGATTGGTCCCTGGGAAGGGAGAGGGTGGGGATTGACATCCATCGCTCACTCCATCCCTTCAGACCAGGTGGCCTCCCCGCCGCCCCCATGGCTGGGCTGCCCCCCTTCTCTTGTTATAATAGGAGATGGAGATTGCAGGTAGGAACCCTAGGCTGCCGCCGCCCCTCGCCCCATCAGAACAAGTGCGTTTCCAGGAGAGGGAAGACCCCGCCCTTGCCAAAAGGGAGGGGGCCGCGTGAGAGTCCCCGTCCAGCCGGCAGGGCTCGGGGCCGGCTCACCCGAGTCTGTCTTCTTGGCGTACTTCTTGCTCTGGCCCCGGATGATGAGCACGAAGACCAGGAGCAGAATGAAGATGAGGCCAACGAGCGCGATGACCACCAAGAACCACCACTCCTCGTAGAAGGGGTTGGCTTTCTGGGCTGGAGCATGGGGCGGGGGTCAGGGCCAGGACCGCTCGGCTCCGTCCTGCCTCCCAACCTCCTGCTCCAGCTGGGACCCTACCACCTGCCCTCACACTTCACGGGTAGTTGGGTCTGTGCCCTCTGCACGAGGCAGCACCTAGGCTGCCCACGCAAGAGAAGAGGCCAGCAGGTGGGTAGGGACGGTTTCATCTCAAGGGCCAGCTCTGAGCAATCAGTAAAGAGCTGCCTGGAGGGCTGTTTTGAGAAAAGTTCTGAGGTCGGTTCTAGACTCCCTAGGAAAGAGTGCTGGGATTGATTAGTGATGTCTGCTAAAGACACAGGAGGGAGGACTTGCAGCGTGATTGCTATCTTTCCTTTCTTATTTTTCCTTGCCACCCCTGGCCCAGGGGCTACCTTGACAGACAGACACCAATGTGGTTGGAAAGGCGATTGCCTGGTCTGTGATGGGCCTGGGAGAGTTTCTCCCAAGGTTCAGTTGTGACAGAAATCTTTTTCTGGTAGCAGAAGGCAGGGGGAGCTGGGAGGGTGGATACGAGTGGGTCTTCAGAAAGCCTCCTCCAGGGAGACTCCCCTTCTTCCAAAGCCCCCAGTACTGTGCTCCCTGCACCCGGCCGGTACTAATCCATGCTGCAGCCTGACGGGGGCTGGCTCTTCTGTTTCATCTTGAAGTGCTTACTTCCCATGATTTGTTTCTATCAGGGCAAGGGTGAAACTTGCCTGGTGAGTAGACATTTTGAGTTATATTCCTGCCTCGAGGGAAGAGGCCTCGGTTTTAAAAGTGGCTAGTGGTTAGATTTGGGGTCATGGGTTTCGACACTGGCATCCTCTGTGAGCTCGGAGACAGTGGGAAGAGAAAGGCAAGGAGGCAGGGGAGGGATGGAGTCCTGCCCCATCGGGGAGCTGCTTGCTCAGGCCTGCGCTTCACAGGCTGCTGGCTCTGTTTTGGGGGGAGGTTTCCACGGAAACACGCAGTTTATGGCCTGGTGCCCTTGAATCTCCTGGGTGACAAGCTCAGGGAGACTCTCATCTTGGTTCCGCTGATTCATCCTCAAGCCCACTGGGCCCCCTGCCCAGGGCTTCTGGAGTCCTTGAAAAGGAACCCAAAAGACCCCTGGCCCCCAGCTCCTTCCAGAGTCGAAGGCTGACTCAGGCCCTGGCCCAGGGCTCTCTGCTTTAGAGAACTGAAGCGGTCCCCACCCCAGTCTTCTGGGGCTGCTACCTCTCCTCCTTCATCCCTGCCCCAGACTCCACCACAAGGCTCTTCAATGGGGCACCCTCACCCCTCACCCGCAGGCCACAGTACCTGGCACAGACTGGGAGGGGCTGCTGGGGGTGCCGAAGCCGTAGTCGTTGACAGCGATGACCCGGAAGTCATAGCTCACGCCTGGCTTGAGGATGTCCATGCTGAACGTGTAGGACGTCACCTCCTTGGGGATGTCTTTGATGAGGATGTCCCAGAGCCCCTCGTCTGCAGGGGCACAGAGAGGGAGGGGCCCGTGAGGAGGGGCCCTGCCCGACCCTAACTGGTGCTCTGATGCTGGGGCCTTATGGGTCTGCCCCTTCGACACTGAATTTCCCGTGCACGGCACCTAGCAGGTCCTCAGGAGACATTTTTAAAAAAGTATCTGACTTTTTATTCTTTCTCTCTCTCTCTCTCTCTATCTGTCTAGGCTGCACCGCACAGCTTGCGGGATCTTAGTTCCCTGACCAGGGATCGAATCCAGGCCCCGGCAGTGAGAGCACTGAGTCCTAACCACTGGACCACCAGGGAACACCTTCTTTTTAATTAAAATGTCCGTAAAACATTAAAAAATGTATAATAAAAAAATGTATAATAGGCAGAAACTCCTTTAACACCCAACCCAATACCACCACGCAGAGAAGGCGCCTCACCATTCCAGCACTTCGTGCAGAAGAAATCTACAGATCCGTTTCCCTGTCAGTAAAGCACGCTGGTCAGATGCTTTTAAGAGGCTGCCTAATGTGGTATCATGGGGGTAGGCCTTCCTTTACTTAACCAGGCCCCTATTTTTCTGATCCCCCTTCCTATTCCAAACACCCACAGTAGTGGCATCAGACAAAAAGAATAGGACTTTCTAACAATCGCTGTAGGAGGGACGGGGGTTGCCTGTGAGGTTCTGGTCAAGTTGCCTGGATGTGATGGGGCTCCGTTTGGGAGCGGAGATCTGAGGAGAATGAGGAACCAGTGAGAGCTGGAGGGGACTCCGTCCGCTCTCCCCCTACACCCCCATCCTTTGAGCTCCTGACTTAACCTTCAGGCCTGTCCCCCTTTGTCTGTGGCTCTCTGGGCCTTGTCCTCTTGGGCCATCATTCATTTCCACCTGCTTCAAAAGGAATGAGCATGCTGCCCACGCAAGAGAAGAGGCCAGCAGCATCCTCCAGGGCCCAGTGGCATCTTCCGCAGACGCTCTGTGTGGGGCCCATGGGGCTGGCCTGGCTTGGGGAAGAGGGGGAGTCCTGCCTGCGTGAGTGCAGGGCTGACTCAGCAACCGAAGTGTCAAGCCACTTGGGCCCTGGACGGGACCCGTTTTCACATGGACCAGGGGCCCAGGGGTCTCAGAAGGGCCTTGGTGGGCTGAGTGCCCAGGTCTTCATCCTGAGCAGCTGCCGCTGGCCTGGACCAGCTCCCACAGCACGTCCTCCGCTCCACCGGCTTCACTGTCCTTCCTTGTCTGCTTCTCAACTCCTTGGCCTAAGAGCTGTCTTTCTGGCCCACAGGCTGCTCCCAGCTCGGCCATTCCCCGGGGTGGATGGATTTTGTTTGCTTCCTTCCCCACACTATTTTTTACAGATCCACCCAAGTCAGGAATCCCGGTGGAGTGGCCGTAACTCCATCATCATTTCTGAATGTTGGACCAGGAGTGTGGTGGCACCTGTGGAGGCCACCTTCCTGCCTGGGTCCCTCTGCTTGAAAGGCGGCCCGTCTGCGTTCTGCTCTCCTTAGAAGACTCCAGGGTCCTCACCTTCCCTCTTAATGATTTGTTTTTCGGTGCCTGCCTCATACACATCACATCTTTTTGTTGACTGTCTCTCTTCCTCCTGCTAGGCTGTGAAAGTCCTCCAGGGCAGGGATCGTGCCTAATCTGTCTTTGTAGCCCAGCACCCAGCACAGGCATACTTGAAGTGTTTTTGAATCAGTGAGTGCAAACCTTTCTTCCCTGGCCTTTCCATAGCATCATGAAACACAGGCCCCGATTTCAGTACTGCAGGCCCCGAAATACAAGTATTGGGGTGCAAATCCATTTTCCTCCTGTGACTTTGAATTCTCTCATTCACCCTTGATGACAGGCACGGTGATGATACCAATGATGATGATCAAACAGCGACACTCGCTCCTTATCAAGCATCCTGGTTCCAAGGGCTTTACTGGCAGCAACGGTGAGAAGGAAGAACACTTGTACCCATGTTACAGATGCGGAAACCAAGGCGTGGAGACAGCTGAGCTCATCCTCCCGAGGTCACGGTGGCAGCGCTGGTGCTTCAGCCTTGAGATGCCTGATTCGTCCCAGCGCTGAACGCCCTCCCTGTGCCCAGGACGGCGCTGACCATCATGACTGTGTCCAGGTGGGTTCGGCCAGGACCCCGCTGCCTCCCAGAAGCTGGGGGCTCCGGCCTGCTGTCTGACCCTCCTTGTTCCTCCCCACACAGGAGCAAAGGGTGGAGCCGGGGCGACGGGGCCAGGCCGGAAGCTGAGGGAGCGTCACGCTGTGTCTCTGGCCTACAGCCCTGGGAGTTGGCCCGAAAGAATCTCTCCCTGGTCTGCAGCGTCTGGCTTCTCGTGTTTAGTTGATTCTGCCCAGGAGGGAGCACAGGCGATGCCGGCAGAGCCAAGGACGCGAGCGATTCCATCCCGAAGAGGATGTACAGCCGGGGGGAGAAGCACGGCATTCCCCTCGTGTTCCCGTCACCAGCTCTCGGGTACCACCCCGAATCCCCGCCCTTCAGGGGGTCCTGGCTTGATCCTTCCTCAGACACTCAGTCCTTGACCCCAAGTGTGTGCGCCGAGTCGCAGCCCCCAAACCTGGAACACCAGGTCCCCTGCCGGGCCTCCCAGGGAACGCTGGAAAATCCACAGGGCTGAAGTCCAGCGCCAACATTCCAGAGCCTGGCGCCCCGGCAGGCCAACTTGGATGGGAGAAACAGGCACAGGCCCTGGATGAGAGAAGCACGCGGAGGTCTCCCAGCCAAGTCAGCAGCTGGCCCTGGCGGGCCAGGGAGGGACCATCTGGAGAGGGGAGGGCGCCAAGGCTGCGCGTATCTTCCGGCTACACGTTGGATCTGAGCTGCTGGATGTAATAGCTATCTGTGCCTGCAGTTATTAGTCCAAGATTAAGGCAATGGCAGGGTGGTAGCGCCTTCCTGGAACCGCTGGAATGAACTATTTGCTATTGAGATGTTCGGCGCTCAGCCACCCCGCGGTACTAAGCACGTCGCGGGATGTGCCAGCACCCCGTTAGAAGTATTAGCTACTGAGATGCTGGCTTCCCGCTCTGATTAGTATTTGCCATTCGCGCTGGAGCAACACAGTCTTTTTGTTTGTTTCTCAACTTCAATTACCTAATCACAGATCCACGGAATACGGAGAACAAGCCTCCAGCCTGAGCCGACTCTGGCATCTCTGATTAACTCAGAAACCTAGCAACGGAGGGAGCTGGCCGCGGCCGGGAGCTCCTGGGGGTAAGGGGAGCTCCTGGGGGTAAGGGGAGCCGGAAAAGCAGGAGCAGGTGTCACCTCGACTGTGAAACAGGAGCTCGGCGGACAGCCCCCTGCAGCGACTTATCAACCGCTCATCTCCTGATGGCTTTGGAAGTTCTTGTGATTCGATTTCAGGCTTGAGAGGAGAGACTGAGACGTTATAGGAACTGCAGTGACAGCCATGATAGCGGCGACGGGCCTCAAAGAGGCAGCTGGGGCTCCGGGGGACAGCCAGCCTCCTTGTGGGGCACTCGTCAGTGGGGTCGTGTGGAGGACATGGGTGTTTAGCAGATGGGAGCCCAAATCTTTGTTCTCCAGCTTCTTTTTTTTTTTTTGCGGTACGCGGGCCTCTCCTGTTGCGGAGCACAGGCTCCGGACACGCAGGCTCAGCGGCCATGGCTCACGGGCCCAGCCACTCCATGGCATGTGGGATCTTCCCGGACCGGGGCACGAACTCGTGTCCCCTGCATTGGCAGGTGGACCCTCAACCACTGTGCCACCAGGGAAGCCCTGTTCTCTGGCTTCTTGGATGACCCTTACATGAGTCGGTCCTCACCTGGTGATTATAGCTGTTCTCCGGGGCCTCCTGGGTTTCCCTTAACTAAGGATGCAAGTCCCATTTCCCACTCGTCACAGGGCCGCCTCTAGCTTCACCTGGGGGAGCACAAGCCCCTTCTCACGCGACATCAGTGCCCCAAGTGGAGGCGCTCTGTTCCCGAGGGCAAGCCAGCTCAGCCCGGGCGGGACATACCTGAAGGTCTGGCTTCTATGACGTAGCGGGTGATGGGGCCTTTGCCGGGGTCTCCGCTGGACCAGTGGATGGCAATGGCCGAGCTGTACCGCACGATGATGGGCACTCCGGGCGGCCCGGGGGCACCTGTGAACGGCACACAGTGGGTGAGAGGATGCATGGGAGCCAGAACAGGTGCCCAGCCTGTCTTCCTGAGCTCCAGCAGGAGGTGCTGGACGTCAAAACCAACCTCGGCCAGGGGCTCCAGAAACCTGCACGTGCTGAGGCCCAGGGAGTGCCTCTTGCCCAGGCCTGCTGGACCTGACTTATTCTCTGCCAGGTCACCCAGAGCCCCTGCACTCCAGGAGAGGCATATGTGACGATGCCAGAAAGGTTCCCAGCTGCATTTGCTTTAAGGCTAGGCCAGAGCGGAGGCCAGGGCTGCAGGAGGATCTGGAAGCTTTGCGTCCAACAGGAAGAAGAACCTGGCCCCGCTGCTGGCTCTGTTAAGTCGGCCATGCGGGCTACTGGCCCCAGGGGCCAGAGCAGGAGACAGACGTTCGCCTCCGTAGTGAGAGGAGTGAGCCCGTGCTATCTGCTAAGAGTCCTGTACCCCTTCTTTCCTGGGGTGCCCTGCAGCACTGGCTCCCACTGCCCCCAGGGCCCCTGTCTGCTGTTCCCCACGACATCTGGAGCCCTGTACCCCCAGGGCCTGGCACACAGTAGGTGCTTCCTAGGTGCTTATGGGACAAGGGAGTGAGCCAGGGAGTGAGGGGGTGGGTGACTGGCTGGCCCGGTGGCCCCTGTGGATGCCTGCGGGGAAAGGAGCTGAGAGCCCAGCTTCAGACTGAAGATCCTCCGGGCCTGTGAAGGCTTGCAGCCGGACAGCAGGCCAGAGACTCACTACCAGAGCGTGGCGGCCCATTGCCCAGCCCGCATCCAGCACCTCCCGTGACCTCAAAGGGCCTCACTGCCTTCCTTCCTGTCCCCCTTCCTCCCCTAATGAGCATCCTGCCCACAGCACAGGGCAAAGGCGGCTGAGGGATGGAGGGCGTGGGACACAGCCCGAGGGAGATGTGAAGGGCGGGGCAGGGGCCCTTGGGACCCTGAGTTCTCATTCCGCACAGGACAGCCCTCGGGGCTGAGAGGAGCTGTCATCTCCTCCTGGACTAGAAGCTTCCAGCATTTCCAGCATTGCCCAGCCTGGAGGGAGAAGGACACCCAGCTGCAATCTGCCCTTGCTGACCCCTCCTCCGCCGGGTGGGCGCAGCTCAGTGCTTTCTCAGAGGCCCCTCCCCCCAGCTCTGTACCGCCCCCCTCTGGATCCAACCCCCCCCACCCCGCCCCACTTCAAGCCTCCGGTTAGAACCCCCTGTCCTCCAGGCGGCCCTCTCCTGTCCCCAAGCCACCGCTCTGTCCTTCTTGTTCCTGCCGGCTAGCTTCCTGCTTTTGTCTCCCAAGGAAGCCAAGGTGGCTCAGGTGAGAGGTGCTGGGGGGATGGGGGGGAGGCAGGGGGAGGGCAGAGGCGGGGCAGGGGGCAGCTCCCTGGCAGTCTTCACCCTGCAGCCCTGCAGGCTTTGTTCCAACAGAGCCCAGGGGCCAGAGGGCTTTTCTGCAGAACAAGGGGCAGGGAATACAAAGTGCCCAGGAAGAGGAAGTGAAGGGGGGCCGCCTTGAACTAGCCCCTGGGCAAACCCGCCAGGCCGGTGAGGCAGCCTCTGCAGGCCCAGCTCTCCCGGCAGGGGGGCAGCGGCTCTCCCAGCCCCAGTTCTCCCAGCCCCGGGCTGAGCTGGGGCCTCCTCCACTCCGGCTGATGGGCGGGGAAGACGGGGAGGAGGGATTTCGGGGGAGTCTGGGGTGGGCTGTGTACTTTCTTCGAGGGGGAAGTTCAGAGTGGCTGGGAGGTGGATTCTATGTTTGGGACACACTGCACGGGTGACAGAGACGCTAGGGAACTAAGCCTCAACCTCAAGTTGCCCAGAATTCCCCCAGCCTGACAATGACCCCAAGAGGCATCGCAAAACCCAAACCAAGCCACTCTTTCCTCCCTGGTCCCCGGTACTCCCCTCCCTCCCCTCCCCTCCCCCCAGGCCCAGTGCACAGGGCCTGGCCTGTAACTGCCTGGCTCCTTTCTTGCCCTGCCCCCAACCCTGCCCCTCTGTCTAGGAAGGATGCAGCCAGCAGGTGCCCCCTGGCCCTGCCCAGTGTCATCTTCCCAAGCCTGAAGACCCCCAGAGCGTGGGTTCTCACAGTGGGTAGCAAAGAGCTACCTCAGCTCTCGTTCAAATGCACATTCCCAGGGTGGCTGCACAGAGATGCTGAACTTCCTGGGACCCAGAAATCTGTACTTATCACAGGAACCCCGGGGGATCTGACATCAGTGGCACCTTGAGAAACACTCCACAGCCCGGCCGGCCTTCCCTCACACCTGGACACCCACCCCTTCCCATCCTGCTCCACCACAGCTTCAGAATTCTGCAGATGCCGGTCTGTATTCCCATGCAGCCATCTGAATGGATGACTTCACCCCCATGGAGTCTTCTGGAATCTTCCCCTTTACATACCCCCCCTCCTCCCCCCTTCCTCCCCCCAGGCCCACCCCCTACAACCCCAGGGGCCCACGTGCTCCACCAGAGACCCCATCTTGCTCAACTCTGGACCCCCAGGCTCCAGCACGGCTCTGGGCACCCCCTTCCGACTTGGGGGGCTGAACACCGTGTATGGAGACAGCAGCCCCCGCGTCCGCCCAAGGCTCCCCTACCTTCTCCGGGGCCCGTGGTGACGTTGGCTTCGATCTCGGGCCCGTAGGTGAAGGTCTTGGCTCTGATACGGAACCTGTAGGTCATCCCCTCCGCCAGGTCCTTCACCTTCAGCCACAGAGGGCTGCTGCCCTTCACATCCACCGTCACGATCTTACTGACTCCTGGTGGGGAGGGGGACACACCGCATGTAGGGCCGGGGGAGGCCATGGGGGAGGAGCTGGCCAGGGGCTGCACCCCCTTGGAGTCAGGCTGGGACAAGCACCCTTGGCCACACAGTGTTTTGCAGACTGCTCTCAGAACACAGCCCGCGGGCTGTTCTCAAGAATATATATGTACTGCCTGCCTGCCTGCCTGCCTGTCTGTCTGTTGACTGAAAACCCAGAGGGTCCTTCCACATCTGGAGGGAAAAAACAACTCACCATCTCGCTTAACTTAACCACTGTACGCCAAACATATTTCACCCCCTGTTTTTGGTCCCCCACGTTCCATCCCATAGAATTCAAACCCCAAGGATCATCTTCCGGCGAGTGCTTCTGTAAAGACACCACCGTCCAGAGCTGGAGGGGACACCGGTGCAGCTGCCCCTAGAGCCCAGGACAACCTCCTTCCTCCTGTACCAGCAAGAGCCAGGAGCCCACGCCCGGCCCCCCACCAGCTGAGCCCGCCAGGCTCTTCAGGGCAACGGTGAGGGCCCTACGGCACTCCAAATCTCGGCAACTAGACGGGAGGCTGGATGGCTTCCAGGAGGTGAGAGTTTGCGTGCCGTGAGTCCCAAGTCAAAATCCTCCGACCGCCAGCCTCCCCAGGACCGGGTTTCCTCTCTCATGCACACCAAGCAGCCGGCCACCCCCAGGAGACAGGCTTTGCGGCCAGCAGGCTGGGCTCAGACCCCAGAGCCGCCTAGGGGGTCTCTGAGCACGTCTCCTACCCTGGCTTTGCTTTATTCTACTGACTGAGGGTATCAGTGGCATCTTAGGCCAGGTGTTACGAGATTAAATAAAATAACAGAGCATCTGGCTCGGGGTTGGGGCCCAGTGTATTGAATGAATGAAGTCCTGATGGACAGAAAAGTGGGCGATCTCGAGGGGCTTCCTGAAGGAGCGATGTACCCGTGGGGTCACGTGGTGATGCGCCCTGGGACCCGGAACAGCAGCCCTGGGTACCTGGCCCCTCGACTTTTCTGAGCAAACCCTTCACTGGCCTGGGCCTCGGTTTTCCCTACAGAGAAGCAGGGGTTGCTGCATCCTCGCGGGGTCTGTTTGCTGGACTGAGGAACAGACAGGCAAAGTGACCATGCCTCGCCAGGTGTGGGTCCCCTGGTGCCACGGCAACAGGAGCCGTCTGTCCCCCTGCGTCCCGTCCCCGTGACCTCTGTCCTCTCCATCCTTCCGTGGGAGAGATGGCCCCTTTCCTGTGTCCTGCACCTGACCACCCCTCTTCCTGGGGCCCAGCTCCCCCTCGGGACCTCCAGACCCGGTGAACTGCTGGCACGCAGGTTGGGCCGGGAAGACTGAGGGCCATTGTTCCCGCCGCTGACCCAGAACTGCTGGCCGCCTCGGCTCCCGGGGCTCCGCCCCTTGTTCTGGTCAGGCTCCACTGTCGGGGAGGGGTGACCCCAGAAGCGGTCACCTCTAGCCACCAGGGTGCCACCTGGTAGGCCAGCCATACCCCCAAGGCCTCACTGGGCTCTGGAACTGGACACAGGCCACCAGGGGTGCAATCTCCTTCCTGCCTTTCTAAGCAAACAGCATTAATCTTGGCCGGGGGGTGGGGGCAGCAGGTGGAGGGGTCCAGGAGTGGGGCAGGGTCCCGACGGGTGGGTGGTCTGGATGGACGGGGTGGGGCTGCGGGGAGGGCACTGAGGAACAGGGCTCAGGGCAAGCGGGAGGGAGGCTAGTTGCCGAGCAACAGGCTTGAGCTGAGGTTCCCAGGGGGCAGCGGGGCCGCAGTGATTCCCGGACTCGTGCACCTTTCGGAAAGAGGTTCCAAGGCTCTTATCAGATTCTCAGAGGGGTTCCTGCCCCCACGAGAGGCAGAGAAGAACTAACCCGGAGGAAGGCTGAGCCCCTGAGGTTGGCGGGCACACGTAGGACGGGACCATCGGGGGATGGCCCATCTCTATTATCCATCTCGGGATAGGTCCTTCCGCTCCTCCCCGCTTCCATCCACTGAAGGGGAGAATGTATTTTAAAGTTCTCTCCCAGGACTCAGGAGGCCGGGGCTACTGTTGCAATTTTGCCTCCAACTTGCCCCTGTTTCACCTTGGCGATGCCCCGGCCTGTCCTGTCGGGGTCTCAGTCTCCCGTTTGTAAGAGGGGAGGGGCTCATGGCTCTGCGTGGTGATCACGGAGGGGACCTGTGCAGAGGGTGGGTTTGGGGAGCCCCGCGGGAGGGAGGGCCCCACTCACCGTCCACGGGGGTGCAGGGCTCGTACACCAGCCGGTAGCCCTCCAGGACACCATTGGGGAACTGCGGAGCCTCCCAGGACACGTTCACTGAGGTGGTGGTCAGTTCACTGAACTTGACGGAGCTGGGAGCACTGGGGGCTGGGGGGAGATAGCAAAGGGGCTTTGTTTCCTCCTTCCTGGAGGTTCAAAGCCCTGGGTTTGGTTCCAAGGAACCAGCAGGGGCGTTTGGGCCCGGGAAGAAGCAGAAAGCAGGGCTTCGCGCCAGAGAGGGTGGGAGGGGTCACTAGAGGTCACTGGACCCCCTTCCCTCCCCCGCTGAGGTCATTAGCATTCTTTCCAACATCAGAGTCCAAGTACTGGGAGAAAAGGGGACTTTCTTTTTCCTAAAGTTGGAGAACGCTGGCTTCCTCTTGCTAAGTGGCCCTGAGCCCTGGCTGAGAGCGCAGGACACGCCTGGACTGTACCCCCGGGGTCACTGCGGGGCCGGGCGATGCCTTGGCTTCCCTGGTGGAGGAGGTTGGGGGGTGCCTGGGCCTCAGAGCATCGGGTGGGCCCTAAACAACCTGCCAGAACTGCCACGGGCGTGGACTTTCTCTTGCTCCTGGGGCCCCGGGGATTACTGCCGAGAGACACCACACCACAGGAACGTTCAACGTTCTGGAAGAGAAGCTTTCTTGGCCCAAGAATCCCGGAGTGACCCCAGAAACATCGGAGCGGGGGAGAGGTCGGAGGGGGAGGACAGAGAGGAAGGGAAGGGAACATCAACCACGCAGCGTCCCGAGCTGGCTCCAGCGGGACGACCGGGCTATTATTGTCCGGAGCTGCCCGCCCACGGAGCCGGAGCTAATCTGGGCCGGCTTCCGCTCCAGCCCCGGGAGGCAGCGTCAGGGAGCCGTCTTTGAAGGACGGAGGCCAGCTCTGGAGGCCCTTCCTGCCTCCCCTCTGTTAGAGGGACGTGAGACAGAACACTTTGTCCTGCTGACGGAAGCGTCCACGCTCCCAGGGGCTCACATCCGGCCGATGACACTGACAGAGAGCGGTTGGGACAGACAGGCAGGCAGATCGACCTTCGGGCACCAGAGCTTGTCCCCAGAGAGGGCAATACTTAGGAACCGACTCCACGGGGTCTCACTCTGTCTTTAAGAGAAAGGTAATTGACAGAATGGGAAACAGCAGGTTGGAAAAGATGCTTCAAGGCCTGTATTCAAATCCACGCGGAGAAAACTCGATGGCAGACAAAGAAGGGGACCAGTGCCATGAAGACAGCCCAGGACATGCTCAGATATCCTGGGCCCCAGTCTCTGCTCCCCCATGGACCAGCTGGGGGACCTTAGGGGAGAAGCATCACTTCCCAGGCCACCCTTGCTCATCGTGAAACCGGGTAACTCCTGCCTTGCCCGTCCTCAGGGCTTCCGGAAAGGTCAAGTGTACTGTTGCCAGAGAAGTGCCTCTAGATACCATCTAGAGGGCTGGCTCTGCACGTGTGGACTGCAGGGTTCTTAGCATCGCCCACTCCTCTGCCCCGCCCTGCCGCCCAGCCTCCTAACTGGCCTCCCTGCCTCCCTCCTCTCCCCTCCATCAGCCTGTCCCTGGTACAGCAGCCAGGGCGATCTTTTATAAACACAAACAGATCCTGTTGCCCAGATGCTTATCCCCACCAACGGCTCCCCGGCACGCTTAGAATTAATCCTAAACTTCCTTCCAAGGCCCCCAGACCCTCTGCCACCTGACTCTTACTCACGTTCTTTCAAGCCACCTGGCCTTCTCTCTGTTCTCTAATCCCCTCCAGCCTCCAGGCCTTTGCACCTGCTGGCCCCTCTGCCCGGAACACCCCTCTCCTCCAGAACTTCCCGCGGCTGGCTTCTTCTCACCGAAATCTCAGCTCAGATGTCAGCCACTCCGCGAGCCCTCTGCGGGCAAACCCATCGGAAGCCATCTGTCCACTCCCTGCCTCAGTCCTTAGCTCACTCACACCCACTTCCACCTGAGGTTAATTCATCTAGATGCTTGGTTACGATCCGACTCCCTCCCTAGGAGTGGGCCCTTGTTGGTTTTATTCACTGTCGCGTTCCCAGCATATGGCCCGGTGCGGGCCCACAGAGAATGCTCAGTAAATACTGGTGGAGGGAACAAAGCCAGGGAGATATGAGAAAGTCAGATGGGAACAGACCGGGAGCAGAAGGCGGCTGGCTGGGCATGGACGGGCCATCGGCAAGGCGGGCTACTGGGGGAAGATGGGGGGAGGAAGGGCGAGATCTGGGGGCCTCTCCAAGGCTTTCTGGGGACAGTGCCCCTCTTCTGGGCACTCATATCTAGGCCCCTCTGGGTGGGCGGTGCTCTCCCACTCTGGAGGGCGTCCCACGGGGCCCGGGGACCCAGGCCAGATCGCTCAGCTGCCTCCACTCCCCCACGACCGCGGACGCCAGGTGCCCCCCGCCCTCCCCGCCGTCTGTCCCTCCAGTCTGTCCCCCACCTGCTTGCTGGGTCTGGCCCCGGGCCGGCGTGCTCCGAGGCCCGTCCCCCGCGGCGTTGAAGGCCGCCACGCTGACCATGTAGGCGGTGTAGCCGGTCAGGTTCTTGAGTTTGACGCCGTTCTCGGCTAGGAAAAGCGTCTTCACCCGCTCCGTGAGGTTCCGCCGCTGGGCCTCCCAGAAATAAATCTGTGGGCACAGAGGATCTGGAGTGAGGGAGACAGTCCCCCGGCTTCCCCCCTTGCCCCCGCCTGATCCCAGGGTCTCAGACACACCTGCTTTCGTACCATCCACACACCTGGATGGGAGCTGTGAGTCGCCCAAGAAATAGTATAGGTGTATTTAAGAGCTGTTTTAGAAACCCTTCCAGAGTGTTCCTTTTCACAGCTAATCCTTCAGTCTCTGCTAGACTGTAAACCCCATGAGGGCAGAGAGCCCATGCGTCTGTTCACTGCAGTGCCTGCAGGATTTAGCAGAGCGCGGGCACGGGTGGCCCTCAGAATGTTGCCACTGTAGGAATAACTCAATTCTGTTCTGTAGGACCCCAAGTGCAGTGTAGGTAGACTGCTGGCGTGAAGTCTACCTCAAACCCAGCCGAGAGTTGGCTTTGAGGACCAGCCCATCAGCATCACCTAGGAGCTGCTTAGGGATGCAGTGTCAGCCCACCCTGGACCTGTGGCATCAGCATCTGCAGGTTGACAAGGCCCCCAGGGACACAGGTGACAGCTGGAACAGCGCACTGTAGAGGCAGGCAGCCCTGGGCTGACCCCAGCGCACCACTGACTTGCCCAGGTGACTTCTCTGAGCCGCAGTTGTGTCGTCTGTATAGTGGGGGTCACGGACACCCACTTCCCAAAACCAAGGTGACATGCAAAGGTTGTAAAAAGAAGGAAGACACGGCAATTCTGCAGAAAGTTTCAGTCCAGGAGCGCAGCAGGTGTCCACAGTGCTTCCAGTAATAGTTGAACCCCTGAACAACACGGGTTTGAACTGCCCGGGTCCACTTCTACGTGGATTTTTCTCAATAGACAGGCGCAGTACAACAGGATCTGCGGTTGGTTGAATCCGTGGATGTGGAACTGCGGATACAGAGAGCCGACTGGGACTTGAGCACCCGCAGAGTTTGGTAGTATCCACGGTGGGTTCTGGAACTGATCCCCCGCGGATTCCGAGGGACGACTCTGCTTCATATTCACCGGGGGTTAACACCCACTCGTCGCCAGCGAAGCAGCAGATCCTTCACTGTTTTTATTTTTTGACTGTGTGCCATTCTTTATTATTTTGGATATCTACACAAAATTTACTTTATTTTTTAAAAAATTATCTTTTTTAACATCTTTATTGGAGTCTAATTGCTTTACAATGGTGTGTTAGTGTCTGCTGTATAGCAAAGTGAATCAGCTATATATATACATATATCCCCACATCCCCTCCCTCTTGCGTCTCCCTCCCACCCTCCCTATCCCATCCCTCTCGGTGGTCACAAAGCACACGGAGCTGATCTCCCTGTGCTATGCGGCTGCTTCCCACTAGCTATCTATTTTACACTTGGTAGTGTATATACATCCATGCCACTCTCTCACTTCGTCCCAGCTTACCCTTCCTCCTCCCCGTGTCCTCAAGTCCATTCTCTACGTCTGCGTCTTTATTCCTGTTCTGCCCCTAGGTTCTTCAGAAGCATTTTTTTTTTTTAGATTCCATATATATGTGTTAGCATATGGTATTTGTTTTTCTCTTTCTGACTTACTTCACTCTGTATGACAGACTCTAGGTCCACCGACCTCACTACAAATAACTGTTTGGTTTCTTTTTATGGCTGAGTAATATTCTATTGGATATATGTGCCACATCTTCTTTGTCCATTCCTCTTTCGATAGACACTTAAGATGCTTCCATGTCCTGGCTATTGCAAATAGTGCTGCAATGAACATTGCTTCACTACTTTTAGAACTCAGAATCGAGGCGTTGGGAAAGCTACAAGTCCCTGGCCCGCAGAGGACTAGAGGGCATTTGGCGCCACCTGCTGGCCAACGGGGTTTCGGCACGCTATTGGCTTCTCAATTTCTCAATTTGCCTGGAGAAAGTTCATAAAAGTGAGAAAGCTAATAAAAGTGTCCCCACCTGGCATGTGTGAACGGCAGTTAGGACGACTCGGTACCATCAAATCCTTGCTTTTCTCTAACCCCTCCCTTTTTCTTTCTTCTTTTTTTTTTCAGTCTTCTGATACAGGTAGATAGTCACACATGAAGTCATTCATTCATTCACTGTTTGGAATGAATGAGTGAATCTACTTGGAGTGGATTCAAGAGAGACGGGGCAGAGGCAGCGGGCAGACATTTTTTTGGAGGGTTTCTGCCATAAAGGGACCAACCAGAAAAATGGCTGAAGCAAACGTGAGGCCAGGAAGAGGCATTTGAAAGATGCAACATATTTCAGCATGAGAAAAGTGACAATGCAGGACAGGGGGTGCCAGTGGCCGGCGTCACGTTCTTGGGAAGGGGGGGAGGGGGGTCCAGGATGCAGGGCCACCACACGTACATAAACGGGCACCCTCAGCAGGCAGGTCTTACCTGTGTGAACCGAATTCAGCAGACCTTTGTTGGATGAGGATTAAGTGACATCTGTGCAAATAGCACAAGGGGCTGAGGCTTGACCCCAACCCCAAGGGCACACAGCCGAGTTGCCGTGCCCGCTGATGGGTAGCCAGGTGTCTGCTAGAAAACACGCTCCCTGGAGGGCCCACGTCCTTGGCTGCCTTGCATCTTAAGCGCCTAGAATCATGCTCCATAAATATCTGCTAATGGATAAACACCTTCCTTAGACGGGAACAGGTGTAGGAGTGACTCGTCATCACCACCTTCTCCTATTCTCCATTCCCTGCCCCTTCGGGCTTCACCACAGGCAACAGGCCGAACTTCAGCCTCGGTTAAGTCAGGTTCATGCCCACATGTCACATCGCTGGCTGTCGCTGGAGGAAAGCCACACTTTCAGTTCACGAGCACAGCCTTGCGTGGCCCGGCCACCGTGATACACTGGCCTGGTCCACTCTCTGCAGTCTCCGGCATCACAGTTCCACACAACCCTTCCCCATTTTCCCTCCCTCCCCAACCTCACTCCTGGCTCAGGACCCTTCACGGAGCTCTGGAAGCCATCACACAAGACTCCACAAGCTCCCTGCCCCAGCTGGACCACCTCCTGCCCTGTGTCCCTGCCCCCTGCCTCCCTCCTGTGACCAGGGCTGAACCGCTGGCTCCCTACTAAGGCGGGCCCCACATTACTGCACTAAATCCCAGCCCCTCTCGTAGCTTCCTCTCTTCCCTGACTCACCGAATTCCTCCTCTTTCCAGAATCATTTCTATCAGCACACAAATGAGTTATTCCTCCCATCTTAAAACCGCCTCCGTTCCGTTGACTGTCTTTTTCCAGTCTCTACCCCATTTTGTTACTTCCCTTTAAAGCAAAACTCCTCAAAAGGGATGTCGGTACTGGCTGCCTCTCCTCATTCTCTCGTGAACCCACTCCAAGCAGGCATTCCCCGCCCCCAGCTCTTATCAGAGTCACCTGTGAACTTGGCCTGTTTAATGCTAATCCAGGGCTCTGGAAACTCCCTCTGTAAAGGGCCAGGTAAGAAATATTTTAGGCTTTTCAGGCCTCACGGTCTCTGTTGCAGCTATTCAACTCTGCCTGTGACTTGAAAGTAGCCAAAGGCGATCTGTAAACAAGTGGGTGTGGCTGCATGCCAATAAAACTTTATTTACAAAAACAAGTGGGGGGCCGGATTAGGCTCACGGGCTGTCTGCCCATCCCTGAATAATTGCTTCCTAGATTTCATCTTGTTTGAGCTCTCAGTAGTAGTTGGCACATCTGCTGCCTCCCTCCTTCTGGAAGCACGTTCTTCATGTGGGTTCTGAGACTTCGATCACTTGTTTTGGTCCCGGGGCTCAGTTTTCAGACTTCTGGTGTTTTGTATGTAGTCTCCGGGCTTTCAGGACCATCTATATGCTGAGGATCCCACCGTTCACACCTCCATCCTGGACCTTCTCCTTTGGACTCCGCACCTGTGTGTCCAGCTCCCTCGGGTGTCTCCCCTTGGAAGTCCAACAGACGTCTCAAACCAGCTCTCCCTCCGTGCCTCCCCCTCCCACCGTCTCCCCTTTTCCTGCGCTGTAACTGGAAGCTCCGTCATCCAACTGCTTGGAAATCCTTACTGCTTCTCCTTCTCTCACATTCCACATTCAGTCCATCAGCAAATTCTATCAGCTCTACCCCCTTCAGATGGAACCAAGAGCAGATGCTTCTTACCTGCTACTGCGTGGACTAAACCACCGTCACCTGGACGATGCTGCCGCCTCTTCATGTTTTGCATTTTCCCCATTTCAGGCTACTCTCAACGCAACAGCCAGCACAAGCCTTTAAAAACCCGAGTCACCCATGTCCCTCTTCTGTCCCCAAGTCTCTGTGGCTGCCATCTCATTCAGCCAAAGCCCTTGAGGACTCCAAGTGACGCGCCCCATCACACTGGGACACGTGGGGCTCTTTGCTGGGCTTTGTACACGCCAAGCACCCACGGATCTCAGGGCCTTTGCGCGTCTTCCCCCTCCTTCTGGAACACTCTTCTCCCAGATCCACGTGATTCACGCCCTGTTCGCCTTCATCTTTGGTCACGTGGCAGCTTCTCAGGAAGCGCTCTCCCAACGACCCTATTTAAAATGCCAAACCTGCTCCTGGACCCATTCCACTTACCACCACCTGGAGGTGCCCTTTGCTTTGCGTCACTGGCTTCCTCCCCTACAGTTTAAATAAGCTCACGTTGTCTCTGCTTTCATCTCAGCACCGAGGACACTGCTAGGCACAAAGTAACTTCTCAATAAACACGCATCCCTGAAAGGCCGGATGCGTGGACGTGCCTGTCCCTGCACACGTCACAGCTCATTCTGGTGCAACCACTGGCTGGTGATGTGAATGTGTGGTTAATGTTAAGGTCAGTGAACGCGGATGTTAATGCAGGTCTGGGAGGTGGCAATTCTGTTTCCCTTGTCAATGTCCATGGCTGGTTATGATGTTTCCCTGAGCACGTGGACGTCTGCTGTGTGATGTCTGGGCAACCACACATTTCCTGGGACCATCCCTTAACTGGAGACTTCCACACCTCCCCAGTCCGGTGGCTGCCAAACTGTTGCAGGCCCTGCCCGACTCCTTCTTCCCCAGGGAGGCATCTGCTAGTGGCGCAACGTTTAGTTCTCCCAGCTGGCGCTGCGCGGGAGCGTCATCCATCTTCACAGCATCCTTGGCGAGACGCCTTTCTTCCTCTCTCCCGCCTCCTTCACCCCACACAGAACCAGACTCCTATACCAGATTCTGTCTGAAATGGGGTCTCCACAAGCCGTGGGACCGGGCAAGGCCCTTACCTTTGTGGAAACTCAGTTTCTGCCTGTGGGATGAGGGCTGAGCCGGGGAAGCCGGGAAGCTCCTGGGTGCTCCCACCCTTCCCACCTTGCCACTGCACTAGGCTACCCTCCGGAATAACAAACAACCACACAGGAATCAGAGCGGCGCTGGACAGTGGCACAGGAGGTAGGCCTCAGACATGGCCGTGGGCTGAGCATCCAAATGAGCAGCACGTGATTATTATTATTACTATTATTGCCGTCTCCTCCGGCGGTTGTGTGCTCAGCGCTTCCTCCCCGCCTTTCACAGGGTGACGGCGAGCAGACCTGGAATCTGACTCTCTGCCATCTATCTGCTTTTTCTGTGACCTCGTTGAACCACTAACCTGGGTCTCAGTTTCCTCATCTGTACAATGGGCACAAACATTATAACCTACCAGCTTTACTGGGCTTTCAGGAGGATTAAGGAGCTCTAAGGGGCTTTGCGAAGTCTGGAGACAAATTGAATCCTGCCATAACACAAGATGTTGCCTAAAATCTAGAAATAACTTTAAACAGAAATTACCAACACCTGGCCGGTGGTCCTTTGCTAACTGGCCATTCAGTTTGCATCAATATGGTAACTAGGGTTGGCCAGATAACCACTTTGAGAGGTCTCACGTTGGCATCGGGAGCTGGTGGGCTGGGTGGGGGCTGGGGGGGGTGTACTGCCCAGGGATGATACAAGCTGGGGGGTGTCCTGAATTTCTAGCATCTGAGCGCCTCCTGCCCCAAGGACGCCAGGGGGGATGGGCGGAGTCTTGCTCCAGCTGCAGGTGTTTCAGGGGATTGGGTGCAAACAGCCAGGGGATCAGGTGTAGCCCCGGGACCTCACCACTGCTGGGTCACTCCCAACCACCACCCGGCCCTGTGTCCCTCTGAACCTTGCTCTCTGCCGGAGCGCCTGTACCTTGTAGCCCTGGATGTCTCCGTTCTGGCTTTCCGGCGGCGGTGGGTCCCACGTCACATCCAGCTGCGTGGCCGTGGCGCCGTGGACAGCCACGTTGCGGGGCACTGCCGTGGGCACTGGAGGGTGAGAGGGGTGGTGAGTGCGTGAGGGGACCTCGGGGAGGAGGAAGAGTAGGTGGGCTGGGGGCGGGGTGTGGTCCCCCAGCTCCCGTCTCTCCTCCTACTGGGCTTCCGGGGCGGGGCGTGGGAAAGGTGTGCTGGGGCTGGAAGGGCAGCGGCGCTCACCTGCCTCCCCGACGAAGACCTCGTGTGGGGGGCTGGAGGGCCCCTCGCCCGCAGTGTTGTACACACTCATGCGTATTTCGTAGCGCCGGTGCTTGTTCAGGTCTGGGGGTGAGAGTGGGGGAGGGGAGAGGCACACAGAGGTCACTGGCCCTGCAGTGGACGGGGGCGGCGTGGAGGGGGGCGGCTGCAGGGGGCGCTGTGATGATGCACCCCTGCGAGTCTGGACCCCTGAGTGCAGGTTCAGGAAAGAACAGGTAAGAGGTGGGGCAGCCGACACTGGGGAGAGGGATGCTCTGGGAATCTGAACACAGGGTGACACTGGGTGGCGTCCTCGCCAAGTGTGACCACCTTGGGCATTTTTGAGACCGAAAGGTGCACTGTTAACATTTATGCTGGGACAACAGGTGTGAACCAAAACTGTCCCAGAGGCGCCAGGTCACAGGTCACTGCTTCCCTGCCTGTCCTGGATACACTGGCCACTTTCGATGCTTCAAGTTCCCAGCTTCCCCCCGCCCCCACGTCTCCATCAACCAGCTCTTAACGCGGGGGGGCAGGGCCCAGCCCTAAAGAGAAAAGGCTCATTGGATGCGAATCTGGGGCAAAGAAACTCTATGTTTTTGCTCAGTTGGGGTGCTTGGGGGGAGACGCTTAGACGGAAGCTGGGACAGGGGAGCAGCTGCAGGAAAACAGGCCCCGACACCCTGGGTGGGAGTTGCCGTCCCTGCTGGGGGGTGGCTGACACGTTCCCCCAGTCTCCTCTGCGTTCCCCTCCACAGCTCCCCCTCCCCAGGTGGAAGCCCTAAGCACCCCGATAGCCCTGGCCCTGCACCCGCGAGGGCTGTCGGTTCAGGAAGGACCGAGAGGCACAATTCAGTCAAACGCGTGCTATTAACGGGAGGCCCCCCTGGCCCAAAGCTCCGGGCCTCGGGGAGAACCGAATGTCCTCTGGGACGTTAGGAAAGAGCTAGGGCTCGGGGCACCAGGTGGGGACATTTCCTGGTCCCTGAGGGAAGACGGGGGCTCTGCTCACTCCAGGGTGGGCCTTGGCTTGAAAGACAGAGCTGAGCTGACAAGTGCCTCTGATGGGACGAGACAGAGCGGCAGCAACGTGGACGCCTGCCCGTGGACCCCCGGCCCCTACCGCGCACCTCCTCTCGCCGTCCCCCGCCCCCCAGGAGGACGAGGCCTTAGCCATTTCCCTTTCCGTCCTGCACTGATGGACGGTGGCCTGGAGCAGACCTTCCCTGGCGACCCCCTGCTTTTCTGTGTATTTCAGGAAAGTCACGCGTGTGCAGGGGGTTCCCCTTCTTCAAGCAGCCTGAGGTGGGTGCACCACTCAGCTGTGGTCAGGCGTCCTCGGAGGCCCCTCTCCCCTCCCCGTGGAAGGCGGGGCCCGTCGGGGAGCCGCCGTGCAGGGGGACTTACTGTCCAGCTCGTACTGCGTGAGGCTGGGCCGGCTCAGGTCCCGCACGGAGTACAAGGCTACGGGGTTGGGGTGGGGTGGAGGGGGCCGGAGGGAGACAGCAGACAGAGGAGGTTAGTACACACACCCCCCCCCCGAGCCACACAGACCCCGATGAGGGGGGCGGGATGGGAACACGCATGCAGAGGGAAGGGCCCTCCAGATTCCTGAGTGAGGGGCCAGGGTGGGAGCGGGGATGGGGGGGGGGAGAGGCAACTCCCAGGACAGTGCCATCCTGTCCTGGTGTGCACCTGCTGGAGGTCACAGGGCACAGGAGCCCCTGGGAGCCCAGCATCCCCAGATGGGGACAGCAGTGGTCCCTTGTCTAAGGCTGAGTTCCTGCCATGATAGAGTGGTGTCGTTAATTTCCTCATATGAACCAGAAACCATTTTACTACCAGGAAATATGACTGTATTATACACAGGCCTATAAAATCACAACGACCAGCACGTCTGCCAAAAAATAAAACAAAATAACGCAAGCTGCTGTATCAGCTCTTTCTGAGGTTTTCTATTAATTTTCCTTGGCTACGTGTTCAATCATCTTGTCTGTTAATACCTGCTAGAAGACAAGGTGCAGACGGTTTACGAGAAGGATGGGAGGAAAAATCAAAACGCAGAGGATCTTAAACTGCTCCTGTTCTCCCAGTGTCTCTGGTTTGGTACCACCACCCACCTAGGGACCAAATCCTCCAGACCCCTCCCCGTCCCACCGGCCTCCCTCTCCCCAGCGTGAATCAGTGCGCGTGTGTGTGGTGGGGCTCAGAGCACAACGTCTCCCAAACAGGCCCTCGACTGCATCTCACGCCGGCTGTCCTGGCACCAACCTCATGCTCTTGCCTCCGTCACTGTATTCGCCTCGAACTGGGGCCACTGCTTCTGGACCCCATCACCAGCCATGGCCCCCAAGACCCCAAAGTAACCATCCTAACCCAGAAGTACGACGTGTCATCCCTTTGCTTGTGTGTGACTCTCTGGGATTTTTACTTGGCTTCCTGAATTTTTTCCTTCCTGCTGCAGAGGCAGGCTGGATTCCGGGGACCCCAGGGCAGAATGGTCATCTCCCTGAGGAACCAGAGGGGGCCAGACTGCTGCCCTTGGGACATGACCAGGCTTTGCTTTGGGTCCTTCCCACCTCAGGCCCTTTGCACATGCCAGGATCCACCCTCCCCCGCCAACCTCCTCTGGACTGGTTGACCTGGAATCATCCATCAGTGTCGGCACCACAGCCACCCCCAGGGAAGCCTTTTCTGACACCTGCTTTAGGACCTCCTGGAATACGTGCTTCACAGAGGCCATGCCGACGGTCTTAGATTACCTATAGCAGGGTTTTCTTCTCCAGCGCCTGGCTCCTCCCCCAGCCTGCAAGCTGTCTGAGAGGGCAGGGACCTTGTCTGTCTTGTTCACTGGTGTCCCCCCAGTGTCTGGAGCATAGAAGGTGCTCAATAAACATGCACTTGGGGATTGAATGGGATGGGATGAGAGGCACACACAGGGGAGGGTGCCAGGGTTTCGGGTTAGTGTGATTCCAGGATGCTGAGAGCTTCACGCCCCCGCCCGCCCCCGACTCCTTCCACTGTCACTCACAGGTGAGCTCTGCCCACTTGGCCCCCGGGTTGTTGATGCCACGCAGCGTGAAGCCCCTCAGACCCTCGTAGAGCAGCTCCCGGTACCGGATCCGGAAGCCCAGGAGGATGCCGTTGATCTTGTCTTCTGATGGTGGCTGCAGGGAAGGGAGTGGGGGTGGGGCCGGCCGGGCTGGACCATGGCTAAGCATCCCCTTCCCCTCCGCCCCTGCCTCCCTCCCCATCCTGCATCCTGCAGCCACAGAGCAGGGACTGTGTCTTAACCGGGAAAAGGAATCAAAGTGGCATTGAGCATTCTTAATTTATGAAGCATTTCCAACGAGGTTACTCCATCCCTGTAGCATTCCCTGGGAGGCAGGGCAGGGCGGGAATCACCATGCCATCCCCACTGAACAGAGAGGAAAGTGAGGCTCAGAGACGGTGAGGAACTTGCCCAAGGTCACACAGCATCATGGGGGCCCTGAGCATGACTCTGGATGCAGAACCGTCTCAAAGAGTTGTTCCTTGTCTAGAAACTTCCTCACATGATCACGTGCCCTGGCCAGGATTTCCTGGAGTTTCCCGGGAATTAGGGAGAGTCCTCGCCCTGCTTTTCAGCAAGAATGAGGGTGGCGTGTCTTCGTGCGCTGCCCCTCTCTGCCTTGATCGTTTTCCTCTTTGCTTCCTGCTCCCGTCCTCAGATGAGTTGGAGAACAGGCTTCTGGAGAAGGTGGAAACTACTTTACTTTTGGCTGTGTTGGGTCTTCATTGCTGCACGCGGGCTTTCTCTAGCTGCGGCGAGTGGGGGCCACTCTTCGTTGCGGGGTGCGGGCTTCTCATTGCGGTGGCTTCTCTTTGTTGCGGAGCACGGGCTCTAGGCACACGGGCTTCAGTAGCTGTGGCTCGCAGGCTCTAGAGCACAGGCTCAGTAGTTGCGGCGCACGGGCTTAGTTGCTCCGCGGCACGTGGGATCTTCCCGGACCAGGGCTCCAACCTGGTGTCCCCTGCATTGGCAGGTGGATTCTTAACCACTGTGCCACCAGGGAAGTCCCAGAAACTACTTAGTTATGATGCCTCTTCTAAAAAACCTGCTGAAGTGGTTCAGCCTTTTATTAGCTCCTTAACCGTATTCCTGGCTGCAGCTGGTGCCTCCCTGCCCCCTTCATCACGATGGCCCCGATCTGCTCCAGCCTTGGTCGGCTCCCCGCTGCACTAGGTCATTTTCACTTAAGGGACTGTCCTTCTCAGGTGGGGCCTTGAGCTGTGGGAGGGGTCGGGGGGGGTCCCTCCTGTTTTCTCTTCAAGGGCTTTCCCTTCAGGGGGGCTGCAGGTGGGCAAAGGTTGGCACCTGCCCCTCTAATCCTGAGAAACGGAGACAGGAGTTCAGGGCTTTGGGGCCTCCGTGGGTGACCCGCTGAGCCCCGGGACTGGGCTTCAGGGGCTGGCGAGGGTCCTAAAGGCACCCATGGGCAGCTGGGTCTCTGAGATGCGTCCCGGGTCTTCCTCAGGCCGTGAAGGGATGAGCAGGTGGTTGGCGGAGGAGAGGTGGGAGGCTGGTTCTTTGTACCTGGATGATGGGTTCCTGCTCATGGTGACAGGACCGAAGCCCAGCCTGGGTGCAGGCACACCTGTGACTGGTCTCTGTCGGGAATCCCTTCACTCAGAGCGGGGCTGGGGTTCACAGAGACGCTGGAGGCCCTGACAGCCCCCAGCCCTTCTCTGTGCAAGGATTCTGCTGACGTAAGGGCACCGAACCTGGCCCTGCCACCTAGTAGCTGTGTGACCTGGGGCATTCTTGTCACCTCCCTGAGTCTGGGTCCTCATCCACAGAAGAGTATAGGGTAGGACCGTATTATCTGGAGGTGGAATGAAGGGTGTGTATGTGTACACACGTGTGTGTGCGTGCGTGTGCGTGTCTACGCATGTGGGTGCCGTGTTCCAGCCCTGCGGGGGCTATTGTCTTTCTGGTCCCAGCACAGGGTGTGTCTGAGTCCTCGTGGAACACGGACCCCTCCCCGCCTGCCCGGCCGTACCTGCCATCGGATCAGCACGGAGGTGGTGGTGTGCGGTGTCACCGAGACAATTGTGGGTGCTTCATCAGGGGCTGGGGGGAGAGGCGGACAGGTGAGCTCTGGGGGTGGTGGTGGGACTTAGGCCCCCTGGGAGCCATGGGACCAGATTCTGCAGACACTGGTCCTGCTTAAGACCCTCCTCATGTCCACCGCCCCAAGTTCTGTACAACAAAGAGCCAGTATAAAGTGGGAGAGGGGCCGGGACCTTGACCCAAGCCCAAACCCAAGGGCCCCGATCCCCTCCTCTCTGCGCCCAGTGCCACAGGCTTCCCCACTCCCACTGAGGTTTTCTGGGGTCGGCCATGAGCTTCGAGGACAGAGAAGAAACACACGAGGATGCCAGGCTGGCTGTGGGTCCTGAGCCCACGGCAAAGGCCCCTCTGGCCCAAACCTCTTTGGGACTCTGCCTGGGGAGCCAGACCAAGGGCCCAGCAGGCCCAGTGCCCCACCCATCTTTGGAGGCTCCTCCCCCAGAAGAGAATGCCCAGTGCCCAGCAAGTGCCCAGGGGACCAAGAGAAAGAGACCCCAGTGGAGGGCACTGACCGGCCTGCAGGGTGGTCAGTGGTTCCGACTCCTTGCTGAACTCACTGTCCCCGATGTCATTGGTGGCCTTCACTCGGAACTTGTAGGACGTGAAAGGCTTGAGCCTGTGTAGGAGAACCGGGTTTCATGAACAGAGGTGCCCCCTAACGGCCCTGCCCCGCCGTCCCTGCTTCCCATCTCCCCAGGGCAGCCCCAGCAGCTGTGGGTCCATCACACAGACGGGAACGTGGAGGTTCAGAAGGACGGTCTGCTACGCAGGCAACGAGCTCGGGCCAGGCCCTGGGGTGCCCTAGACCAGGCCAGCTCAGGGTGTGGCCTCACCTTGGCCGCAGCTAGATGCCAAAGGTCCCCAAGTGGAAACGTCCATATATCCCCTATCTCAGAGGGGCCTGGAGGTAGGAAAGCTCCAGTAACTTCCCCTCAGAGCTGACACCTCCCCCAGCCCTCTCTTGCATTTAGTGAATTCAGGAAGGGCTGAGGGTCTCAGGAGTTAACCAGCACTTCATCTCTGTAAGCCTCATTTCCTCTGCAGGCAAACAGCTTCCTTTCTGATTTATTGAGGGTGGGAGGGGGAGTGAGGAGAAAAGTCTTGCTCAAAACTCTCGGTCTCATCAACTGGAATGTTAAAAATACATCCTGGGCTTCCCTGGTGGCGCAGTGGTTGGGAGTCCGCCTGCCGATGCAGGGGACGCGGGTTCGTGCCCCGGTCCGGGAGGATCCCACATGCCGCGGAGCGGCTGGGCCCGTGAGCCATGGCCGCTGAGCCTGCGCGTCCGGAGCCTGTGCTCCGCAGCGGGAGAGGCCACAACAGTGAGAGGCCCGCGTACCGCAAAAACAAAAAACAAAAAACAAAAAAACCCCACATCCCACTAGGAATTAAATTGAAGGCAGAATTTTGGAGCGAAGCTCCACCCCCCTATTAAGGATGGAGAGGGAGGCTCCGCCTGGCTGGAGAAATCCAGCTAATGAAGGATGGCGAGCCTTTCACGGAGGGGTCTTCTAGGCTCCAGAAATAGATAATAAGAGGCAGCCCTAACAAGGCTCCAGAGAGGGTGGGGAGGGAGGTTAGGACAGAGCTGGAGGGGATGAGCGTGGATGCGGAGAGGTCCCGGGGGATGCGGGCTGTGGAAGCGATCTGGGGGTGGGCGGGGTCTGGGCCGGGAGGGGCGGAGCGGAGATGCTGGCGGACACACGGGGGCCTCACCTGTCCACAACGAAGGCGGAGGCGTTGTGGCTCACAGAGGCTGAGTGCAGGGCCCACCTGCCGCTGGGCAGCTCGCGGGTCTGGATGGTGTAGTAGCGCACGGGGGACAGCCCGTCGCTCCCGGGCTCCCAGGACAGGAGCACGCTGCGTGCCTTCACGTTCTCCTGCTGCACCACGGGCTTGCTGGGGGGCTGCGGGCGGTCTGGAGGGGGTGGATCGGGGAGGAGCAGGTGAGGCCACGGCGGAGGTGGGGGTGCACCTTCTCGGCCCCCGGGAGCACTGATGCCCTCCATCCCATCCCGTTTCTGCACGCAGGTCCCAACAGTCAGCACCGTGGCTCCTGGCCAGCGACTGTCCCTGGGCTACTCAAGGCCCAGGTGCCTGGGAATCTACACCCCCTGAGGGCAGCCCCAGCACAGGGCTGACAGTGAGGTGGTGTGAACGCCCCAGTTCCTTTGCCCCGGTCTGCACGGTGCTGAGATGGGACCTGCGCTGTCCCCAGTGGGGTAGGGCTGAGCCCACATCTCCCTCGGTGGGACTCGGCTTTGCCCCCTGCGAGGGCTTGGCCTCTGCTCACTTCCCCACGCCCCGTGGCGGGATTCTTGGTCTCTGCACTCTGGCTCTTGGGTGGATGAGTCTTTGTTGCGGGACCTATCCTGTGCGTTGCAGGATGTGTAGCGGCACCCCGGCCTCTACCCTCTAGATGCCAGGGGCATTTCCTTTCCACCTGTGACACCCAGACTCTGCCCGGTATCCCGGGGTGGAGGCAAGGGCACCCTGGCTGAGAAGCACTGTCCTCCTGGTTTTTCCTGGGAACACTGTCTAATAAATCACGCTCACAGGGATCTGGGGCTCAGGCCTGCTTCTGGGGAACCCAACTTTGGGCGAGAAGCCGGCTCAGGGAGGCAGGGCGACGGCAGCCAGGGCTCTAGGCTGCAGTCCCATCCTCCACCCAACTGGACACGGTCTCCTCTTGAGAAGGAGGGGAGAGAGGAAGGAAGCTGGTCTCACCGGCTCGCCCTTTAGAAAATCTGGGCAGGGCAGGACCCTGGGGAGGGGAACTCCCAGATCAGCTCTGGAAGTCTGCTGGAGCCCTTGCTGACCTTGGCCTCAGAGATTTGAGCCCACTTTCCATTCTGGACCAGGGCAAGAGACTCACAACTAGCCCACTCCCAGCCGTGCACGAGGAGATGGTGTGAGCTCCCAGGCCGGCTGCGGGTGCCCCCCCCGAGGCCCCCCAGGCCTCCCCAGTCCTGGTGGGCAGTCACCTCTCTTCTCCGTGGTCACCACCAGGGCCTCGGCGGCCTCTCCCCAGCCCTTGCGTGTCTGGGCCGTGATGCGGAACAGGTAGACAGACTCTGGCTTGAGGCCGGTGGCCGTGAACTGGCGGGCGCTGGGCACGAGCACCTCCACCGTGGCAGCGTTGGCCGTGGTGGCGTTGAGCCTGTGTGTGATCTGGTAGGCTGCGGGGAAGGAAGGAGACGGGCCGTGCTGGGAGGTGGGGCTGCGGGGGGCACGAGCAGGTGCTCTATGCAGCGTCTGCAACCCCCAGCCCAGCCCCCGACGAGGCAACTGAGGCTCAGGGAGGCCAGGCCACCTGCCAGGAATTGACCAAGCTGGAATTCCAGCCCAGGTCTTTCTAAGCCCAAACGCCTTCCCCCCACCCCCCAACCCCCCAGCCCCATCGACTCTGTCTCCAGAGGCACAGCTTTCACAGGGGGCGGGTGCTGCACGATGCCAGGACTGAGCCCTGGACCGGCACAGGTGGTCCGATCCCCCGTTCTACAGGTGAGGGGCTGAGGCCATGGAGGGAAGCCGACTTGCTCAAGTTCACACAGCTGTTCATTTCAAGCCTGTGAGTCTTCTCGTGTGTGTGTGTGTGTGTGTGTGTGTGTGTGTGTGTGTCTGCGTGTGTGCGCGTGTGTGCGTGTCTGCGTGTGTGTGTGTGTGTGTGTGTGTGTGTCTGCGTGTGTGTGTGTTAGTAGGAACCGTGACTACGAAATGATACTTCCGACCTGTAGCATCCCTCCTGGGGGTGCCTTAGGCCTCGTTTCCCACCTGTGGGCACGGCTGGGCTGAACCAGCCAGTGCGCCGTCACCTGGCTACACTTAGGAACAGCGGCCGAGGGTCACCAGATGGCCAGTCCCCTGGGGACCTGGGTCACGTGGAGGCACAGAGCTGACCAATGGTCCCTAAGACAGCTGAGCCCCAACCTTGCCCTCCGGCTGATAATCTTACAGGCTGAGATTTCCAGTAGGAGAAATTAGACTCACAACCATTCTTGAGGACACGTGGACACTTGTCCTGGGCTTAGCCTCTCTCCGGCCAAGACTGAACTGCCTCCTTTACACCTTATCCCTCCTTCTTCCTGCAGCCAGGGCCCAGGAAGGGTACAGGCTTACCCAGAATGATGCCGTTGGGGGCGGCGGGGGGCTGCCAGATCAGCCGCACCGAGGTGGTCCTCACCTCTGGGAACAGGATGCCCATGGGTGGTCCCGGGACTGGAGGGTAAGAGGAGAAGCAGGGGACACTGCAGCTGCTGCTCAGCCCCTAGACCAGCCCGGCTCCGGCAGAGCAGCACGGAGGGGGGCAGGGGAAGGGGTCACTCTGCTCGCTGAACTTCTGAGGAGTGTGTGTCTGTGCTTGGCACCGTGTCCTCACACAGGACGTGGAGATGCTATCAGTGAGGTTTATGCGTTACTTGGCAGGAACTAGATGGGGCCGAGGCTCCAGCTTTGGGGCAAATGAAAGCGCCAACCCCAAGTACACACCACTCCTCTTTCTGGACCTCACTCTGGAACCCGCGGGCCTGGAGCTCCACCGCTCCTCTCTCTGGACCTCACTCTGGAACCCGCGGGCCTGGAGCTCCACCGCTCCTCTCTCTGGACCTCACTCTGGAACCCGTGGGTCTGGAGCTCCCTGCCCAAACAGCCCCAGGCATGCTTTCCTTCTACAGGGGCCCGGAACCACCCTCCTGAGGGTGTAGACTTGTCCCTCTGGACGGAGGGATGGCCAAGGGGCAGGTGTTTTGGGCAAATGGATGGAAACTGGATGGTATGGGCCAGAGGAGATGGGGGCGGGGGGGAGACAACAGGGTGGCAGAGTCGGGGGACGGCTGGGGGGGCAGCTCTTCCCAGGCTGCCTCGATCTAATTCGGAATGCCAAGAAATCTGAGATTTCTAAACTTGAACTGGGCCTTCCAGGCCATTAGGAGGGTATATCTGTCAAGGCAGGAGCGTAGAACATATTTAATTTAACAGATCATTAGCTTCATTTATCTCTTCAGAACAGAGACATATGGTGTTTGGGCTTCGCTTTGCACTCTCGTCCCGACCCCACAAGTGTTTTTGGTGAGCAGTATGTGAGGATGTGTGTGGGGAGGAGAAAGGGGGGCAAAGGATCTGTCAGCTCAGCCTCCGATGGGGAGTTTTGCTGCAGAGATGAATGCCTGGAGCCCGGCAGGTGTCACTCGTTTGCTAACAGGACCCGTAGGCTTGTGTAAAGGAAAAAATCAAGCCTTTCGCTTGCACAGACCTGCACTCGGAGAGAGCCTGCCCCAGGTGAACAAGAAACCAAAGCGGGCACAAATCCTCCTTTCTGTTCACCTGTCCCAGAGAGACTGCATCAGATGCCAGTCTGCCCCTGCATTGTCATTTCTTCCTTAGGGATGCGCAGTTTGTAATTAGCATCCCTTGCAGTGGGGTTGGTGGCCCTCAGTGACCTGCTTCCCCCAGCAGAAGCCTGAGGCCACGGTTCCCTTTGGGGCAGAGAGAGACCTCAGAGGGGCGGGGCAGGGCTGGGCAGGGTAGGGGTGGACAAAACGCAGCTCTCAGCCTTCCCCAGGCTCCCAGGGACGGAAACGTACCGTCATCCAGCGTCCGCTCCAGGATGGCAGGATGGCTGGGGCTGCCGTCCCCGATGCGCGTGAAGGCTAGCACCTGCACCTCGTACAGCACGTATTTGCCCAGGCCTGTGAGCTGGGCGCTGCGTGACGAGTTCCCTTCCACCAGCCAGAACCGGGGCTGGGAGTCTGAGTCCTTCTCCTTATACAGCACCTGTTGGAGCCCAGCGCAGGGGTGAGGGCCTCCGGCCTGGGTCTGGTCCCACCAGAACCTCTCCTATCTCCTCCCCAGGAGCCAGGTGGGTGAGGATGAGTGGGTGGACCTGGGGCTCCCTGGAGGGGCTTGGTTCCCAGGTTACACAAGCCTAGTGCTCGGGGAGGGAGGGGGACACAAAGATGCAGTCAGCCATGGAGCTGGAAGGTTCCTTAGAGAGCATCCAGCTGAGAAAACAGGCCCAGAGAGGGGGCGTGACTTGCCCAAGGTCACACAGCCAGTAGTGGCAGAGCTGGGATGTTAAGCTACGTCTCCTGACTTCCAGGCTGGGGCGGTAGGTGCAGCTTTGGGAGGAATTCTAGAAGATAATGGAAATTGAAGCTGGGCCCATCGGGGCTGAGAGTGAGGCTTGGGGCACCTAGTGTGGCCTCCTGGGGGAGGTAGAGCTGCCCCAAGGACCTCAGGCCTTCATGGGAAGCTTCCCCACCCCCAAGGGAGGACTCCTTGGTTGTCATGGTGACCAACGGATGCCGCCGGCAGATCCCCCGTGTCCACTGTAGAAGGCAGAGTCCTGGGCCCCAGGGGGTCGCGAGGACAGGGCGCCGGGACAGGGAAGTGGGTGCAGGGGCTCCAGCCCCCTCCCGTGCTCGGATCTGGGACTCACCTTGTAGCCCAGCACCAGCCCGTTGCGGTCGGCCTCTGGGACTTCGCTCCAGCGAACCAGCATGCTGCTGGAGGTGGTGGCCAGCACAGACACGTTGGTGGGGCCCGAGGACGGCACTGGGGGAGAAAGGAGTGGAGAGAAGCAGCTCACGACCCAGAGCGGACCCGACAGTGGAGGGGGTGGAGTGGGGTCTGAGGAAGGAAACGGGGCACGGTCCCCAAATAGCAAATTATTCTGCGACGATGATGCCTTTGGCTCCGGAGTGTCGCAGATGCTGCTTCTGGCTTCAGATCAGCCTCCCCGTTATCCCCCCTCAGACTAACGTTAGGATGAGGCTGCATTTCCTGCCGTAGCAGCGAGGGGTGGGGGAGGGGCTAGGATGGGAAAGCAGCCATCATTTAAAGGGCGTTAGGAAAAAGCCACAGAGCTACACACCACACGCGGCTGGATGAGGGCTGTCTGTAGGCCGGGAGCACATATTCTGTGAGTGTCCCCTTGCCAGGCCCCTATGAGCCGCTGCTGCTTCTGGAATGTTCTGAGAGCTCACCCAACCCGTACCCTCTCCCCACCCCCCCACCTCCATCTTGGGGCCTCACAGGCACTGCTGGGTGTCAGGGTTACAAGTGGGGACACAGAGGCGGGAAGCCCCTCCTGGGAACCTCTGGAAGCAGTGCTGGGAGAATCAGGTTCTGGAAGGCGCGGCCACGCACACACAGGGCGCTCTGCGGGACGCTGAGCACAAGTAGGAAAAGGAGCCCAGGACATTTTCGCACGACAGCTCCAGCCTTTGAGCCCTTAGAAGGCCCTGAGGGCAGAGAGACAAAGGTGGGGGGGTATCCCCAGGCCCCAGGGCGGTGAAGCAGGTCGGGTAGCTGGCATGAGGGCACAGTACCTGACTCCCGGGTCCTGCCCAACACCGTCTGGCTCCAGGGCCCGCTCCCGATGGCGTTGAAGGCCTGCACCTGGACGCGGTACTCCGTCCACTCCTCCAGGTCTTCGATGGTGTACTCCCGTTCCACGCGGTCTTGGACCACGTGGCTCAGCGTCTTGCCGTGGCCGTCCGCCCGGCTGTACTTGATCTTGTAGCCCACCGACTCGGGGTTCCCGTTGTATTCCATCTCTGGGAGAGGCTGCGGGAGGGCAGGGGTGGGAAAAGCAGCTGTGAGGCCAGGCCCACCTAGCGTATGGAAGAACTGCCTGGCTCGAGCTGCCTCTTCCAGGCAGCCTTCGGGATTACCCAGCCCACTGTCCAGCCCGTCAGCACCCACGTGAGGCGCTCTCACCCCTGGGTGTGGCTTAGTTGTGTAACTCTGTGCTTCTGACAGTCCCACCATCTCCCTGTCTCTCTACCCTGGGCTCAGAGGAGAGGCGGTATCCACTCTTCATTGTGCAGGTGACAAATTTATGACCCTGCCAGGGGAGTTGGCCCTGGTGAAGAGGCATAAAGGCTGTCTGTCCCACACTCAGCACCTGTGGCAGTGGCTGTCTCTGCCACTTAACTCCCTCACTCAGCCTGCCAACATATACGTATTTAACTGCCTACGGCACGCCTGGTCTCAGGTTGTGTCTGCCCTTGGAGAAGCAAGCACGTGAAGGCAGCATCTCAGGCATGGGCGGAGCTCCAGTCACTGTCAGGAGGTCCTTCCATCCAGCACACCTCCGTCTCTCCCGCTGCAGTTTCAGCCTCCTTCTTTTTGTTTGAGTCTCAGTGAAGAGAAAAAAGACAGCTTCATCTCCTGAGCCTATGATTAGGCTGGTGGGGCTGTGGTCACCGGCTCAAGGTCATGCGGATGAACCTGGGCAGTGCTGATAAGCGGTGGAGGTCTTTGTACACTGGGGGCAGCCTGGGATCTGAAGCAGGCGTGAGCTGAGGGCCCAGCCTTCGGATTCTCCTCTGAAGGTGACAGGGCTGGAGCTGGGGCATCCTCAGCCCTCACCTGCCCGCATTCTGCTTCCCCAGAGGCTCCGACGAGCCCATGATCCACAGGCCCTGCACGTCCTGACCTACTTTCTCCGGCTGCTCGGCCTCTGCCTCACCGCCTACCTCCCCCGTCCCTCCTGCCAGCCCCCGCTCCTACAGACACTCAGTGAAGCAGACCAGAGACCATTAGGACGGCAATCAATGGGCCTGAGAGCTTGAGATGGGCCTTGAGCACATGCCCTCCTACCTGCTAAGGAAAGGCAGCGGGCCATGTGCCATTAGGTGGGGCCGGAAGGGCCCGGGGCCCCGCACAGTGCAACCCCTGCCTTTTATTCCCCCTCCAGCTCCCACCCTACGTACCAGACTTTTTAGCCTTTTAGTATTTGGAAACCTTAAAGTGAGATGCAGAAGGGACGTGGGGAGCAGCCTGGAGGGGAGCAGAGCTGAGGTGAGAAGCGGGGGGTCGGCGAGGGGCGAACTGGGCCTGACAGCTCTGCCTGCTGCTGGTCCCAGCGGCCTGGGAGGGCCGTCGTCATTCATAAGTAGCGCTCGTCTGGGCTGATGGCCATTAGCGCCTCCATCAGGCGTGTCCGGGCAAGCGAAAGGCAGCAATGACTTTCTGGTAAATCTCAGCCCACAGCTCGGGGTTTTGCAAGTTGAGTTTGGGGCAACTAGTAAGACATCTTTAGTGGAAGCAAAAAAGAGTTGCATGGCCGGAGGGGCCTGGTGAAGTGGAGGCAGGCAGCTCCCCCTGAAGCTATCATTCCTGGATTCTCTAAGGAGCCGGGCTGTTCGGTGCTGGCCCCATGTCTGCTTGTCTAGGAATTCCTCTTGGGTTGCTGCTTTGCGGCGACCGCGCCGGGAAACGCGGTTCCAGGCGATGTCCTGGGGGAGAAATGCTCTCTCCTGTTCCCCAGAAGATGGGCTGGCTCAGGGGTTAGGGCGGCGGATTTTGGGGGCCAGACTCCCCGGGTTGGGATCCCGAGCCCTGCTGTTAACGAGGGGGTGTGTGTGGGGGGTCTTGGGCCAGTTATTCCACCTCTCTCTGCCTCAGTTTCCTCATCTGTAAAGTGGGGGCCAGGATCACTGTCACAGGCTCGTGGAGAGGGTTCAAGGTCCAACTCTGACAGCACTCAGAACCCAGCTTGGCAGGAGGAGAAGCCCTCTGCACGGATTACTCACTCGTGCAGGGTCACCGGGGTAATGACCCTCGATGTGGAACCCTGATCTGTGGGGACAGAGCCTAATGCCTCCCCGACCCCCCCTCAACCTGAGAAGCAATCCCTCCCTCTCTGACTTGGTGGGTGAGACAACTTACATCCGAAGCCCAGAACCACCCCGGGAGCTGTGTGACTGTGGGTGAATTCCTAACCTCTCGGAGCCTGTTTTCTTAGCTGTAAATTGGGAGAGTACCATGTCCTTTGCAGGATTACTGGGAGGATTAAATGGAAGAAAAATAATGTAAAATGCTTGGCGTGTGGCAATACTCAATGAACAGTATTTTCGAGCTTTTTTTCACGTGGGGCGTTTGTTCATTGGACTAAGACTGATGCTCAGAACAGAGGAGGGGCCTGGAGGGAATCCCGTGGACGCCTGCTTTGAGGCAGTGACACCTCTGCAGGGTGCTGAGGCCCGAGGAGACGTCCCACCCCCGCCGCCCTCGCGGGAGCCTCACCACCCAGCGGAGCCACAGGCTGGTCTCACTCGCCGTGCGCAGCGTCACGTTGGCCGGGGCCATGTCAGGGGGCGCCTGGAGGGTCTGGATCTTTCTGGAAGGCTGGCTGGGTGGGCTAGTGCCCACGATATTCACCTGGCGCATGCGGAAGCTGAGATGGGCGGAGACGGGTGAGCAAAATGGTGAGGGCAGGACCCCAGGGCCAAAGCCCGTCCCAGGCCGGGCAGCCCCCGCCCCTTCCTAACCCATTACCTGTAGTAGGTGAAGGGGTTCAGGTCGGGCACCTCCATGGACCGGGCGTCGGGCTCGTTGGGGAGCTGGTGAATCAGCAGCCACTCCTCTCCCTCCCCGACCACGCCCACCTGAAAATGGAGAGACCCTTAGACCTGGCCAGCCTGCCGGGCTGAGATGCTCTGAGCCCCAGCTCCCGGGAGGTGTAGCCCGGCCCAGGGAAGGTCTTGACACAAACCCCAGGGCTCACCCGGAGGGCACCACAGGGGGCCCCCATCTTTCCAGGCCCTTAAACAAGACTTCAAGTGGGACCCCAAGCCCTCCTGCATCAGAATCTCACGGGATGCTTATATAAACCCACTCCTGGGCGCTGCCCTTGACCCAGCCAATCAGAACCCCCGGGGGTGGTGCCCAGGCGCCTGCATATCTATCAGCAGTAAGTTCCCAGGTGATTCTCCCCAACACCCTGGCACGCTTCTTAAAACCCCAGCTAAATCAAAATCAGAATTTCTGGCGGTGGGACCCAGGTGCTGGAACTTCTGAACACTCCCCTGGTGCAGGCAAAGGTGAGACCCATGGGTGTAAAGGGCTGCAGGAAGCAGCTGGTTATTTCTCTAGGCTAGCCAGTCACCACCCTGACCAGAGGAGGTGTGTGTGTGTGTGTGTGTGTGTGTGTGTGTGTGTGTGTGTGTGTGT